CTATCTATACATACATAAAAAAATAGAAAAGTAATATTTATATTGTTTTTTTATTTCAGTGTTATTGCCAAAGTAGCATGTATAATTTTTATTTAAGCTTATGTGTTTCAATTAAAACAACAATTTCAATAAAATAACTGCTTGTTTATCATTTTAGTCAACAATGGCCGCAATTACAAATTCAATGAGCTGACTTCCAATATATGACTTCAATTAATATTTATTTATTAGTTTAACAACTGATTGTTTGATTTGAATTAATTAAGTTGACTATTTGACTTTTAGTTTGTTAATTTATTAAGAACATGTCATCCAATTTCCATTTAAGCTTACCTATTTAGTTATAATATAGTACATTTTTTATAGATTTTAAAATATTTTTATCTTATTTTTTCTTTAAGAGTCTGACAGGACACAGTTGCCAAAGCAGCATTTGCAATTGTCAATCACCAAAATGGTTATCCATCCAATGGTTTTCACTTTTAATCTATTAAAGTATTTATATTCTATTTTATTTAGATAGATTTTTTTGAAATCTTACAATAACAACAATTGCAAAACTTTAAATTCTAGTGAGTTCCATAGCATAACTTAAAACAATAACAAAAACTATAAGAACAATTAAATCATAAAATAATTAATAACACCGATTAAAAGGTCATCAATGCTACTAATGCTAACTAGCTAAATAAATAAATAAATAAATAAATAAATAAATAGATAGAATCAGAACTTCAGATCTTAAATCTCAAAATTGTGTTTAATAAACCGACAGCCATATTTTCAAAAATAAATAGATGAATAAATGAACAAACAAATAAATAAATAAATAAATAAATAATCAATCAATAAAATCAATATACATTAAGCAGCAGTGTTATTATTACATCTTAAATACTCTACAAAATATGATGGAAAACAGATGACCCTTTAATGTTTCACACTGAGGCACGCATTTATATAAAAATAAATAAATAATAAATAAATAAATGAATGAAACAAAATTAAACAAACAAACAGACAGACAGACAGACAGACAAATCTATACATACATCTATACATACATACATACATACATAAATACATACGTAAAAATAAAATAAAACTGGGCCATAAAGATGAGGACATTAAACAATAATGACTGTGAATGTGCAGTAAAATACAGAGGCAGAATAGTGTGTGTGCGTGTGAGGGGTCAGTGAGGGTCCCGCTGCTGTACTGATGGGATGACAGAACAATCCCCCTCTAATGAGGCAGATTTGCAGTTTCCTGGTAGGATCAGGGAGTGCGTCTGTCTGATGGTCAGGTGTGTGTCTGAACCCCAACACATGATTGCACACCCTCCACTGCACCTAAATGACCCCGCTTCTCCACAAGTGTGTTTATATGTGTGTGCACATTAGATAACGCCTGTACTGTACAGTACATCATATACTAGTGTTCCAGTCTGTACATACTCTTCTAGTCGCTAACTATCTACAACATAAACAGGTTGACACAGGCTAGTGTGGCCTCAGGCTGAACGCCAGTCTGAGTAGTGCTTTTATATTTTACAGACATACAGTAATGAGTTATGATGAGCAAAGCTACATAAATCAGAAGAACATTTACCAAAGTCAAAGACACAGCAATTCTTATTCTGAGTCACTTCAAACCAAAGTAGTTTTATTCACTTTATACAAGACATATCAGCTTCCCTGAAGCTGTAAAACATGGTCTGCATGTTCAGTAACAGCTAATGGAATGCAACATTACAGCATTCATGGAAATAATTTTTATATTCTATTCTTCTTGAAATACAAAATTATAAAAAGTTTAATCTACATTACCTGATAAAAAAAGTCTTGGCATCTATCCAAGTTCTAGGAACAATGAATAATAACTTGACTTCTAGTTGATCATTTGGGTCACACTTTACAATAAGGTTATTGTTAATGTTAAGTAATGCATTTACTAACATGAGCAAACATTGAACAATACATTTACTACAGTATTTATTCATGTTAATAAACGTTCATGAAAACACAGTTCATTGTTAGTTCATGTTAACTCATGGTGCATTAACTAATGTTAACAAGCATGGACATGAATGTTAATAATGCATTAGTAAATGTTCGATTATGATTAATAAATGCTTTACAAGTGTTGTTCATGATTAGTTCATGTTAGTAAAGGCATTAACTAATGAACTTTATTGTAAAGTGTTCCCATCATTTGGTATCAAAAGTGGCTTATATGAAAGGCAAAGGCCTCTAGATAATTACTTAAGCTTATTTTAACAAAATAAAACATGATCATGCCTTGACTTTTGATTATTTAATTAGGACAGTAAGGTCTGACTTTGCTTAGACAAAAGTCATATCACTTAACTGAAATAATGTCCGGTATACTATAGAATATAGTCATGGTGCAGTGGATAAAGAATTAATATTGTGTATGACTCCCATGATCTTGGAGGACTGCATCCATGCATCTCTGCAATGACTCAAATAACTTATTAATAAAATCATCTGGAACCCCAGACATGCTCAATAATGTTCATGTCTTGTGACTGGGCTGGGCAATTTTGGAGCACCTTAACCTTCTTTGCTTCAGGAACTTTGATGAGGAACCTTGCATTTTTTTTCTACATTGTGTTTTACAGTTTGAGGTAAAGATGAGGTAAAATTCCTTCAGTCTATTCATTCATTTATCAATTAATCCATCAATCTATTTTATTCATCCATCTGTTTATGTCTGAAAGTCGCTTAATTCATTCACCCACCCAACTCAATCTATTCATCCATACCATACTATTGCATTTATATAACATATCACTCTTCTATCAACCAATTCTATTGTTTCATACATCCACCCAGTCATTTATCCATCTTCATACATCTATTTAACTTACTCATCCCTTCACACTATTCTTTCAACCATCAAATTCTTACAATATGTACACATATTCTTACTTTTTGTATACATTACATCCATCCATCCATACATCCAATTCTTCCTTCTGTCAATCCATCTATCATCAGTAATCTATCAATCCATCCTTATTCTTATATGAATCCATCTATCAATCCAACCATCCATCCATCCATCCATCACATTCTTCAATTAACCCAACATATTATCTACTGTATCTATCCATCCATCCATCCATCCAAATTCATTTATATAAATGATCCTTCCATCTGTCAACACATTGGTCCTTCCATGCAGCCATAGATCCAAATTATTTATCCAATCATCAAATTTACTCATACTTCCACCCTATTCTTACATCCATCAATTATATTCTAAAATATCATCCATTTACTCATTCGGCCATTCAATTCTTCCTTCCACCCATTAATCTACTGTATTCTTTCATCAACCTCACCATCTTCCCCATCCATCTATCCATCCTTTTCTACCTCCACCCATCCATTCATCAATTGATCGATTCAATCCATTCATCCATGAATCAATTAAAACATTCCATCTGTCCCTCCATCTAATCTTTTTTCCAAAATATAAATACATCTTTGAATACTAGAATTTCAACAAGAATTTGTATTTATGTATTTTACTCATTTATTTTATTGGTTGGACTTTTGGATTTGGTATTCTCTCATACATGCAGTCTATCAAAATGAACTTAAGGATCACTGTAAGTGTGTTTGAGAAAACGTGTATGGAGCATGAGTGTACCAGTTTGTTGAATCCGAGGGCCCGCAGAGCCTGTTTAAGGGCTAAGAGCTTCTCTCTACTCTGAGGACACGCACTCGCTACTGCTGGACTTTCACCAGGGGCCGCTGTGTTCAAACACCTGTAACAGACACACACACACACACTGATGTAAGATGTTGTTGGGCTTTAAAAGAGTCAAGACAAGTTTGAGATTTTCAAACTGTCACCCACGTGCTCAAAACTTGAAGTCAAATAAAGGTAAACGCTCAATTTTTTATGACAACCTTCCATTTACTCCATGCATGATTTGCAGCGGACACTTAGGGTCACAGAGAGTTGAGAGCAAAATACATTTTCTTATACTGGCATCTGACATCATTCAGCATTTGCTGTTCTTTAAATATGTTACTAACTTCTGATAATGTAGGTGGGCGTAAAAATTAAGATATAAAAATTGAATATATATCAATACTTTTCAAGCTGTTTATTTATGCACTACACTTTAACTGCTATTTGCATATATAAATATCCCATTTATATAAATTATATTATTTGTCACTGTTAATAAAACATAAATTAAATCTTGGTTACTGGATTTTAATATTAAAAAAAATCAATAACTGTTACCAAAATGTTTTACAAAATAATAATAATAAAAACAATAATATATATGGCAAAGTAATCTAAATAATAATAATAATAATAATAATAATAATAATAATAATAATAATAATAATAATAATAATAATAATAATACAAAGTATATAAATAGATAAATAAATTACCAAAATAAAAAATAAAAATAAAATTAAAAAAATAAAATAATAAAATGAAATAAAATAAATATAATATGCAGTGTTTGATCATTAAAAAACAATCTACTTAGTTACACTATTTCAGTATCAAAATCTCAGTTACAAAATTTATCTTTATGATGAAAAAAAAAGGAAATATATAAGCTTTAAAAATAAGATCTCTTTTTGACAACGTCTAAGTAATTTTAAATACTTAGTGATAAAGTATACAAGCTACAATTTTGTAAACCAGGTTTTGAAAAAAGTTGTTTTAAACAAAAGCCACATGATATATCAATATAACATGTACAGTACATCTACATGTGTGTGTGTGTGTTACCTATGGGCCAAAACATTGTTCAGATACAGCTGACTCTTCTCCTCTGCAGAAAGCCCTTCAGCCATCAGATAGAAGATGTTAAAGTTCTGCTGATGCGGTGGCATGCAGATGACCCTCGACTTCTCCAGCATATACGTGTACAGCCGGCCTGAAAGCACACGCAGTGAGAGAAGTCGATAAAGCATCTTTATAAATATCCCCAACACGAGTCTTTATCTATAGAGCAACAGCACCATCTACCGGTCATGCATGACAGCACAGAAATCCTCTGCTGAGAGCAGACCATGCACTGTAAGGAGCTGATACGTTTACACTTGTGCACTTCAGTTTAAACATAGTATATCATAATGATAAAAAAAAAACTCATCCATATTGATGTTTCCACTATGTTATTGCTATTAAATCATAGCAAACATTGAAGCCTATACACAAACACTAAAACACTTAATATAAAGGCTAAAATGTTACAAGTTGAAATTAGCAAGTACTTAGAACAGAAAAATCTGAATATATGATCAACTGTAAAGTTATAGAACAATACTGTATTTGCAATAAATACTGTATATTAAACAATTTCTAATAGGCCTCTTATTCATTATAAACATCATATATCTAATAAACTAAGTTGAGAGAAAAATGTGGCATTTAATTCAGCAGCAAATCCATTTAAAGAAGCAATAAAATGAAAATGCATATATACTTAGGTATAACTGAATAGAAAGAGTTCATAGTTGCATAGAAACGTCTCAAACTAAATTGTTTCATCATGTGTTTTTTTGTTATACATGTTATTTTGTTAAACATGTACAGTATATGAAATTTGGGCATATTTGTAATGAGACTTCTGTGTATAACATTGTAATGCATGTTTATGCATTGTGTCATATCACTCAGCTCTTACTGTGATTCATCTTGCATGAAAAGACGCCATTAAACTATAATATCCAATCACCAATATTCAAAAACATAATAGTTATGAAAAACTTATGTGGATAAAGCTTCAAAATCCATTTATATACACATCTCTGTCTGCCCCTTTTGTAAAATAGAATTATAATAATATTCATGACATAACACAAAAAATAAAAAATAGGTTATGCTGGTGGCTTAGAGACATCTAAATCAGTCCTTCTATATAAAATAAACAAGGCCACTACTCTATTTGTTGAAATATGTTTTGACAAATTGAGTATGGTTGCATTTCAGGGTACATCACGCTGCCTGTGTGTTTGTGTATGTGTTTTCAGAGCTTTGTAATATTTATGAACTTTTTAAATATGATTCAAACTAAGCTTTTCCTTCTAGGGGTAATTCCAGTGGTTATACATGAGCATATAAAACAGTTTCTGAGGAATATTTTAACTTTCCAAAGCAACATACTACAGTGTGTGTCAGAACAATTTAACTAATCGAACTTATCTTAAATTTTTAACCAGTGTGTTATAAACATGTTACAATGAGTCACAGTTCTAATGTTCATCTTTCAACTATAGGTTTGCTAGTTAATTTATTTTCAGGATCTGAGGTAAAATATCTGCTGGTGCTTTCAGTATGGTAATAAATGTTGCATAAAATAGTATTTAAAAACAAACTGGTACCATTTAAGACTGAATAAAACACAATCAGCACATGAGGTGATCATTGGCATAGTAGTTTATGCTGTTGTAAGAGCAATAGTGTGAAACTTGCAGAACTGTAAATATATACTTCTACTTTTGTGTTTTCGCAACAAAAACAAAACTTTGCAGTATTTTAAAATGAAGAAATCAAGATTCACATTCTGCTCTCACAAAAATGAAACAAACCTTACTGTAATGGTCAAATGAGTGGGGTATGGAATCCAAAAATTATTCTGATTTAGTTTTTTTTTTTTTACACTGAAATACAACTTTCAACTTTTCAAAATAGTCTATTTAAAGTCTGCAGTGTTTCCAAAAGTCTGCATCTCTGAGGGTTGACAATTCTGGAGTAATGTGGATGTCAGGCGTTGACCATGGTAAATTTAGTTTATTTTAAAGCTAAAATCATGCCTGAAAACTTTGATATTATATTAAGACTAGTGTGAGCACCTCTGAGTAAAGTCTTTCTCTTGTCGCAGTACTGCAGTGAGATCAGCTTGATGAAGCGGCTTCCTGAAGTGTTCATCTGTGTTTTTGCATGACCAAACGCTTCCAGGATCACATTCACCTGTAAATGATAACAAAAGAATTTAGAAACAATTACAAAACAGTGACTCGGAGACTCACATGTGGACTAAATGCCTCAGACTTCAGTGAGCTGCCCACGTCTAGACATTCATTCATTCATTTTCTTTTCGGCTTAGTTCCTTTATTATTCTGGGGTCGCCACAGCCGAATGAACTGCCAACTTATCCAGCATGTATTTACGCAGGGGATGCCCTTCAGGCCGCAACCCATCTCTGGGAAACATCCATCCACACTCAAATTCAAAAGCTTCCCAAATCCACATGCGGAGGTGTAAATGCAAAAGTGTGGTATCATTTTAAAGAAAAACTTTTGAATTTACATAACACTTTTGATTAAAATAATTGTATATGTTGTCTGTGTTATAATAAAACCCTCCAAAAAAAGATCTGTTTTTTTTTTTTTGTAAACTCAAATTTGAAAGTGTACCTTTAGGTTCTGTGTGTCAGTAATCATAGGAAAAAAAAAGAAAAATGTCTCTACCATAATCTATGCAAAAGTTATTCTATTCCAAGTGATGAAAGAACAGAACCACTTATGGGGGTATTGGGCCAGTACGGGCCTTTACAATTTAAAGAATGCAGCAGTAAATGATGTCACAGACCCAGAGTTTAGGAAGTTAACAAACATCTGCAATTAAATATTTAAATTATTTCCTTTACCTATATATATATTTATTGTTCACAAATGTTATTAGTGGGAGTTTACTTTCTTTTCTTTATACATTTACATTGCTAATGGATTTTATTTTTTATGAAGTTTTATGTAGAAACAGCAGTGGTGGTTTTACTGCACGATCCCAAAACACTGATTTTAGCCTCAACAAAACCTAATAAACCTTTAAAACTGAAGAAATGTTGTAAATGTTTATATTAAATGACAAAACTGAAAACCGTCACCACCCTCTGGTCGGCAATCTGTTTCTTTAATATATAGCAAGCTTAATGATCACACTGCAGAGCCTCTTTCTATTAAACTTATCTGGAATCGTGAACTAACAGATTTGGACTTGGAACTTGATTAACTGGGACAGGGTGTAGTCTAACCTAATCTTAACTTCTAAACACTTAGCTCATCGTCTTATCCATTTCAAAGATATACATAGTAGCATGCTTACCTCCTTATAAGAGATTTAAAATTAAACTGCAGTCCAACTACAACTGTCATACCTGTAGCTCTGTATCTTTAGGTAATTTTCTCCATATGTTTTGGGAATGTCCAATTGTTGTTGACCCTTGGACTCATGTAAATTCTGTTTTGTCAATTTTACTACAAGTTGATTATTTGTCTAATCCTGGTTTATGTCTTCTCAACAGCAATTCTAATTTCTGCATAAGTACACTAAAGAAGAGAATATTGTTTGCTGGCTTTAAAGCTGTAAAGAACACACTAAGACAAAATTGGTTTACCCCACAGATGTGTGCAAAAACATTCAACAATTCATAGCCTCCTTAAAATAGAGACCACTGAAGGTACAATAGCACAAATTAATAAGGCTAAACTTAGTACCATTGATGCATGGCAATGTTTTTCTTCCAACATTTTAGACTATATGTAATGACCATGTTAAGTTTTTTTTTTTTTTTCTTCTTTTAGATTTAAAATTGTTGATATGACTGTGGCTCCCCATCCTGTTATTTTAAACGTTGATCATAAAAAAAAAAACAAAAAAAAAAAAACAAAAAAAAACTGAAAACAGTGTGCCCTTCCTCTAAAGTCAACCGGTCTTTCGACAGAAGTATAACTCTATGAAAAATTCACGCAAGTAGCACTTGTGTCCACTAGATGGCGATAAGACACTGTTTATAACTGAAAACGATAAGATACAAGAGTCTTACACAAACGCACACACATTGATATGTACTGTAACAATAAGACAATTGCTCCTCTACGTTAAACTGCTCTACTGGTTTTTGTATGTAAACGTGGAGTCTTTAAATCAGGGGTGTCCAAACTTTTTCTTATGAAGGGCCAAAAATGTATTGAGGCTAGTGGGCAGAAGGTAAATGGTTGATTTACATAGGTAATTCCTAACTTATTTAATAATATTTAAAAAATTAACTAGCAAACACAGCTTTATGTGAACTAATACAGCATAATTCTTTAACATTTTTGCCTTGATTTGCTCACCAAAGTGTTTAGCATAGTCCTCTATCTGTTGAGTGACATCGTTTACATTTTAAACACCAGATTTATTTACAATTAATTGAAACATTTCATTTCAGGTAGCTTTTTTGTAGCTCAGCAATAATAATAAAAAAAAAGGTTTTAGAAATTGAATTAGAAATGACCCAACACCCATTCCCCCCAACCATCTCCATCATTCTCACTCTCTTCTCACATGAGGTGGTGGGCCAACTTTGGGCATCTCTGATTTAAAGCAGTAGTTTTAGCTTACAATTAAAATCCTCTCATTATTTACTTCATCAGAAACCTGTTTTCAGTTTCTTTTTCACTGATTTCCATAGTATTGGTTTTCCTACTATGGATGTCAAAGCCTATAGGTTTGCAACATTCTTTAAAATATCTTCTTTTGTGTTCAAGAAACGTATAAAGGTTTGAAATGACTTGAAAGTGAGTAAATTGTGAGTAAATGTAGATTTTTGTATGCACTATTCATTTATGCAAGAAATGTCCCTTTCTTTCAGATTCAACCAGAAGCAGAATCCATCTGCCTCAGGCTTCAAACTGACATTCAAATGAACTCTTTCTCCAATGAAGAAGAGAACAACAGCGGTTTGAAGCTATTATGATGCTGAAGAGTAACTGAAGTAAAACACAAACACCTCCAGGAATTAACTTTAACAGGGCTCATGTGAGGAGAATTGTAGACAAAATATATAAAACGCAAGCACCACCTAGACAAAACAAAGAGCTGCACAACATTTTTTGTATAAATGAACACAAAGCTGTGAAAGCAAAAAGCAAACTGTAGATGTGTGTAAACAGACAGACTTACATGCTTCATGCGTGGCTCTAAAGCGAACCCTTTGGGACTGGAGCGAGCGGCCAGGTGCTTCAGGATGTGTTTACAGGCCACAGACTTCCCAGAACCACTCTCTCCACTAGAAACACCGAGAGAGAGAGAGAGAAAGAGAGAGAGATAGAGAGAGGGAGAAAAGGAGAGGAGATAAATGTGTTAAATTAAATTAAATTAAATTAAATTAAATTAAATTAAATTAAATTAAATTAAATTAAATTAAATTAAATTAAATTAAATTAAATTAAATTAAATTAAATTAAATTTAATTTAATTACTACAGAATAATTGAAATAATGTTTATTTGTTTTACTATTTATGACTATCATTTGATTTATAGTAGAAACCCAGAGAAATGTGATTCGCTGTTATCAGTTTACAAAGTGTAAAATAGTGTTTATCTGGCATATTTATAACCTAAATTATTTAATTAGTGTACATTTTAAATCATCTTCAAACTATCTTCAAAGATGTCAAAAAAAGGCTTCAGGTCTAAACAGTAATAAAACACATGAAGTGTCAGGTCTCATACAATTCAGCATTCGATTTCAAGGAATCGGACACAAAAAATACATAGGGAAAACATGCAGACCATAAATGAAAAAAATTGAATATGAGCATGATGAAAAATGCTCCTGAATACTACATTTTTCTCTTATTGTTGATCTTGCCTATTCATTTCAATGGAATTTAAACATCATCAGAATAGATTTATGAGACATACATTCAATTACATTCAAATAGTTCCAAAAAGAAACAAAAAAACAAAAACACAACAGCCCAAGCAGAGATACTATAATGCAGATAAGGTGAATATAGATGGATTTTTTTCTAAGCTTGCAAAGGTTGAATTTTCTAGCATTTTTACACTAAATAAAAGCACTTCAAAACTAATTTCCTCAAAACTGTGTGCACATGATGAATTTTACATAAAAAAAGAGGCACAAGCTTATATAAAAGAGACGGTTCACCCAAAACTAAAAAATAAATTTGCTCATCCTTTTCCTGTTTGAGTTTTTCTTAAGTTGAACACAAAATAAGATATTTAATAATGTGTTGGAAACCTGTAACCATGGACCTCAATAGTATTTATTTATTTCTACAATCAAATTTAATGAGTACCCATAACATTCTTCAAAATATTGTATTTTGTGTTAAACAGAAGAAACTCATAAAGGTATTGAACCACCTGAGGGAGGGTGAACTTTCCCTTTAAAGAAGTTTAATCAATCATGTCCAAAATTAAATACCAAAGCTTTCCTGTATAAGAAAAAAAAAGATATGATTTTATGATAAAATAACATTACAAGCAAATATAAAATATAGAATAAAATAACACATTATTTTTATGGACTGTATTTTCACAGGAATACCATAAGAGTAATTAGGTAGAAAATATCTAAAAAAAAAATAAATAAATAAAAAAATTAAATAAATAAATAAATAAAATAAAATAAAATAAAATAAAATAAAATAAAATAAAATAAAATAAAATAAAATAAAATAAAATAAAATAAAATAAATAAAGTGATACCATTATTAATTAACAAATTTTAGGGGAAAAGATTGACCACTTCCCTAAAAGTCAGATAAAAAAATCAATAATGTGAAAAAAGAAAAGAAAAAAGTTTCTTTGTCTGACTAAAAACACATAAAACAAAGCAAGGGCAGTGTCTATGTTTTGAAAGCCCCCTGTGCCAACTGTGCAGTGGTGAATGTTTGCTTCTGTCAGCCTGTTTTAAGAGTAGCAGCAGGTCATGAAAGCACTTTTACTCTCCTCCACATCACTCTCTCTACGAGACGACACACTCAGCCTACAGCAATATACCATCAAAAACATCAGGTTCCGAGACTAAAGACCGTCTCATCTGTCTGGCCTGCAGGCATCTCTCTCCTAACCTGGAAACTGACCACAGTCTTCTACTGTAAGTAGAGAGACATTTCGGTCTCATCACAGCAGTATTTAAGCACTTACTGTTATCTTGCATTCAGTACATTCATTAGACAGATGTTCTAAGATAGCATATTTTACACTTTCTATGGTACAACTTATGTCAAGAATGCTGTCTTTTTGGGAGCAATGCATTTTTCAGAACAGATCAGGTGTGATAATCTTTTAATTGATCAGTGTTTTCAAACAAATACGTTTTGTTAAGGTTTCAGACACAGTGAAACACAATATTTATGCTTTGTAAAATGCACATTGATGTATATGGAGATGCCAATTAAAATAAGTTTTAAACATACTCTAACAATATGCTTTAATCTCTTCCCTGCATTGTAGATTAACATAGTGATGCACATCCCCCATAATAGACAGAACATTATCATTATTTATACTCCATACTTTTTTAAATAATTCACAATATTATTAGGAAGTTATTTAATATTTATAAAAAAGGGAGAGAAACTAAAACCAACTGAATTTTAAAGGATCATGATTTAGGTGTGACATGATAAACTTGACATGTCGCCATATTAACTTTAAAGTGACTTAGGCTGCGTCCGAAACCTCCTACTACTACTCAGTAGGTACTGCATTTGAATTTAAACGTACTACTCGGCCGTTAGAAAAGTACGTTCTATACAGTATGAATGTGAAAAGTATTAATGGAATTTGGACGTATTACATCCGCCATTTTGTCATGGTCACGTGACCTACCTGCGTCAGTTGCGTCACTTTACTTCCATTCATGAATTCGCTCGCGGGGCATCATGGGATAGCACAGCATGCATGGGATGCGCACTTCGGAATCTCGCCGGAAGTCGTAAGTCATCCGGGTACTTCTCGCATACTGATTTTCGAATTCTATGAATTCGGACATACTACTCGGCTACTCATACTGATTTTTGCGTACTATATAGTATGAAAGTATGCGGTTTCGGACGCAGCCATATTCTAAATCAGGCATGGCAACCCTGTTCCTGGAGATCAACCTTTCTGCAAATTTCAGTTGCAGCCTATATCAAACACACCTGCCTGTAATTATCAAGCTCTGTTCAAGTCCTAATTAATTGGTTCAGGTGTGTTTGATCAGGGTTGGAGCTGAACTTTGCAGGAAGGTCGATCTCCAGGAACAGGGTCGAGCACCACTGTTCTAAATAATGGTCACATTAAGGTCTGCATGAACCGGAAGCTGTGACCGTTTTTTTTTTTTTTTCCCATATTTTGACGCAGTTCCTACAGATATAGAATATTAAATCTGAAAATCTGTGGGGCTTTTTTGTTCTACTGCGAGGTGATTGGATATAGTAAAGTAGGCATTCAGAAAGTACGGGGAAATTGTTCTCTTCAACATTTCTGTTTGTTGTCATAGCACTGTCAAAACTGACAGTTGGAGGGGTGTGGTTAAGTATGTTAACCAATCCCAATACCTCAGACAGACGTATTCTGAGAATTAAACTGAAAACAAACAGGATTTTCAGGTTTCAATTTTAGACTACAAGGAAAGACTTTTTTTGTTTTTTTTGTTTGGTTCTTAATGACATGCACAGATTATTTGTTCACCACACAACTAGCAATGTGAGCTAACTAAATCAATATGGTTAGTTTTGATTAAAAAAAAATAAATAAATAAAAAAAAATAAAAATTTTAACTCAGGGGAAGGGGTCAGCGGGAGTTTTTAAGGTGAAAGTTCAGCAAAAATGTCAATATTCTCACTAGTCTTTACTCTCCTTCAAATGGTGAACCAGACATTTTGAAGAAAGCTGAAAACGTGTAAGCACTGACATTAAGAATCGTTCATAAAGAATGTAAAATAGGTTATTAGCAAAAATTAAACCTAATTTAAAGACTTTTGTTATATAAATAAATCAATCAATCGAAGCCAAGAAAAGGCTGCACATAATAGAAGAAATGTAATAATAAATACAAATAATAAACAAGTAAAAAATACATGAATAAATAAACAAATAAACATAAATAAACAAACAAACAGACATGATTAAACAAACATAAATAAATAAAACATGGTTAAATAAATAAATAAACAAACATGAATAAATTAACCACAAACATAAATAAATGAAAAATAAATAAATAACAAACAAATAAATAAAACAACATAATTAAATAAATAAATAAATAAATAAATAAATAAATAAACAAGCAAACAAATAAATAGAACATAAAATAGTTAAATAAATGATACATAAAAATTAATAAATTAATAAATAAATAAAACAAACAAACAAACAAATAAACAAATGTTTTTACTCAAGTAATTCAGTACATTTGCGGATAAATTAATTTTAAAAACTTTTTAGGTCATTATAAATATGTGATTAAAATGTGTGATTTCATATATTTATATATATATATATATATATATATATATATATATATATATATATATATATATATATAAATTAAATAAATCAGGCAAAGGGGTCAGCAGGAGTATTTAAAGTGAAAGTTCAGCAAAAAATGTCAATATTCTCACTAGTATTTACTCTCCTTCAAGTGGTGAACCAGACATTTCGAAGAAAGCAGAAAACCTGTAAGAATTTACATCTGTAGTAGGAAAAACAAATACAAGTCAATGGTTTCAGGCCCCCAGCTTACTTCAAAATATCTCCTTTTGTGTTCAGTCAAAAGAAAGAAACAATTTAAAAATGTAAATGATGTCAGAACTGTCCCTTTTTGGGTGAACTGCTCCTTTAGAACTTAATGTGTGAAAGGTTTAAATGTGGTTTAGCAGCTGCAACAGCATTTTTAAGATGTTTTTGAGTATCAATAGTTTTTCCACTAGGTTGTTACTCCACCAATTAGAAAAAGGCTACTGTACAACCAACTTCACCACTTTCTACATGATGTACAGTAGCGTTATTAATTACTGCCCGTCTTCAATGTCACAACCTCTTAAACTGAGCCATAAAGCACAGTCGAACAGCTCGCGGTGTGAGAAAAATCATCTAAGAGCCTGGATCTTCTCCGAGACCAGCAATAGAGAGTCAATGGTAGAAAAGCACTCAGAGCAGATGGTTTTTAAAGGTCATTTGGCCTCCCACTAATCATTTTCTGGAGGCTCTGATGCTTTTCCTTCGCCTCTTTCCATTTCTTTTTGGAAATCTACTCTGGGCTGTAATTGAACTCAAGGGCACAATGCATTTCAGAGCCAGTAGCGAGTAGGTGTTTGTGAGAGAGAAACCAGCAATTCGCCACCTTTTGTTTCTTTGGTTCTGCAGCCACTGGACCATGATCTGGTTTAACCTGCGGGACCAGTGTGTGTGTGCATGTGTGATGGATAGCCCACGCAGAGAGGGCATTAAAGTAGCTGTCAGATCCTCTCTGGCTCAGCGAAAGCAAGCATCGGCCCATTGGAGCAGCATCAGAATGTGAAGCAGGGTTTAATTGCAATCAGAGATGACCAGAGCACAAATCGGGACAGAGAGCGGACCCTGCACATCCATTAATCTCGCTGAGCTCTTTTAACAGGTCTGGATTTACACTGTGCACCGGCACATTTGTCTCAGTGACAGCGTTTAGCAACAGCCGCCCGGGCGATGCTGGAGTCTGTATATCTAAATATGAGGGCAAGCCTCTGGAACACAAGCTGATTTCCAGCACAGGACCACTTGCTAACATGTGGAGAAAACCACTAGCTGGAGCACACAAGGAGGAAGGTAGAGAACGTATTTATATTTGTGTGTTTTTTAATACGGTTTCCAAACATTTGTTCCAATAAAATCATTGGGTTTTAATAACAGTAGTAAACATTTGATTAAATTCATAACTAGGCATGGGTAATACCACTGATTGGTGGACATAAACACCAATTCTGTTTGCTACAATTGTAACACAATGTATTACAACGTAATCACAATGTATTATTAATATTTGTAAATATTTTACTTAAAGTCTGCTTAAACCGAATGTTGTTGAGACTTATTTCAATACGCTGATGAACTTCCAACTGAAACAAAATATTGAGTGGGGGGTGGGGGGTTTGGGGGGGGATTTCACATCATTTCCTCTTAGCAAACTAACAGTCAGATAGGGTATATACATGAAGTTGCTATGAATTTGCATCAACAGAAGGACCACTACCCCCAAACACGAAAGCAAATGCTCAGACTTTCAATAAATATTACCAAAACAAACTATTGTTTTCCAGTGGATTCACAGAATAATTATTCACCTCAAGCATAACAATGTGAGGTAGCAAAATAAGCACTGTACATTTTATTTTTAAGCTGACTTTGAAGGTATATCACATCTCCGTGATGCATATGAGGACAAATAAATAAAGCTGTTGTGCAATACTGCATTCTGACAGAAATACTTCACACTAGAACTACAGAGGCAGTCAATTTAAATTTTGTAATTGAATAACTACTTAAAATAAAACCCACTATTTTTTTGGGCGCAGTTTCATTTAAAAACTGTTATTATATTTAATTAATAAAAAAAATAAAAAAATAAAAAACAAGATGATAAAACTGACTGTAGGATTTTCTGACTTTTTAAATATAAATAAAAAATAGTAAAACTGCCTAGCAATGTTTTACCAACAAAAAAAGATCAGTCTTGTAGCATAAATACATTAGAAAGTTTCAAAACAACATTTTCACTGTGGTGAAAACGGGAGGTAAGCACCTTTACAGGCGGATTAGTAACTCGCACACAATTATAGGCTACACTACAAAAAGGCCATATTTTTAGGGTAATGACTTGGTCAAATATGACAACAAGAATTCAAAGCTTAATTCTAAAATATCAATAAAAAGTTTTAATATAAATGATACAACAAAAAATCAAATCAGTATACAGTATGAATGGAGAAATCAGGTTTTAAAACTAATCAAAATATTAACATAAAACATTTTATGTATTTTTGTCATATCATACATACTTAGATATTTTTTTCTTTTACATTTTTTTCCTTTTGTGTATAGACTTTCTATACGTAAATTATGCATACATATTTAATACATCTAACTGGCTTTGTCAATGGCACTGGCTGGAGATTCCTATGGTTTTATTTTCACAACTCTGCATATCCAGTCTCAGAGACTGGAAGTCAGTACAGCTGTAAACTGGTGCCAAACTGTCATTAAAGCAGTGAAAAAAATACAAAAAAGGAATATCATCTATTTTAGATTTCATTTTTCCCCCCAGGCTTTAATTAAGGCTTTTTTCCCTATGATTGGAAGTATAATACTGTATTCACTACAGCAGAAATGTTCACTTAATTCTGCTATCACTTAAAACATAACAAATAAATAAATTGATTAATTGACAGATTAATAATTTAATTAGGTAATAAAACAAATGAAAGCTGATAATAATAATAATAATAATAATAATAATAATAATAATAATAATAATAAAGTTATCCAGGAGAGAAGATGAAAAGGCAAATTAATGTGAAGTGTTTCTGTGTTCTGCTGGTCAGTGTGTGTCACCTGATGATGAAACACTGTGGCCGTCGCTCCTGAAACATCATGTGAAAAGCTCGTTCGGCTGAAGAGAAGATATGAGGAGGGAGAGAAGAACACAGACGGCCACTGGAGCTCAGATACAACTGACTGACCTAAGAGAGAGAAAGAAAGAGACACACACACATACACACATATCACATTTTAATAAACACCATTTGTATTGATGCTCTCGTCATGATTATATGTAAACCTCTACTCATTAAACTACTAAAGTTAATAAAGCCTAAAATGTTGAGTGTAAAGATGGCCTAAACATTCTTTGATTCAGACTAATTCAGCAAAAAAAAAAAAAAGAGAAATATGGAAAGTAAAATGCCACATTTATTGCCACAAATAAAATGCTCAAAAATAGTATAGGAGTTGAATTAGTATGTCAGTAATATTTTATAATTTCATCCATAAAAATGTAAAATAGGTAACTAGCAAAAATTAAACCTAATTTAAAGACTTTTGTACAAAAAATAATATATATATATATATATATATATATATATATATATATATATATATATAATTAATCAATCCAAGCCAAGAAAAAGCTGCAAATAATGGACGAAATGAAATAATAGATAATAAATACAAAAATAAACAAGTAAAAAACAAACAAATATAAATAAATACATAAAACACATAAATAAAACAAACAAATAAATGAATAAACAAAAATAAATAAAACATAAATAAATAAATAAATAAACAAATAAAACTAACAAAAGATTAAACAAACATAAATAAATAAAACATAAATAAAATATAAATACATAAACAGACAAATACAAAACAAACATAAATAAATAAACAACAACTAAATAAATAAAACATACATAAATAAATGTAACATAAATAAAAAATAAAACATAAATAAAAAATAAAGCATCAATAAACAAATAAATAAATTAATTAAATGAATAACAAACATGAATAAATTATTAACAAACATACATGAATAAAATATAATCAAACAAAATAAATAAACAAGTGAACAAACAAACAAACAAACAAACAAACAAATAAATAAATAAATAAATAAATAAATAAATAAATAAATAAATAAATAAATAAATAAATAAATAAATAAATAAATAAATAAATGTTTTACTCAAGTAATTCAATACATTTGCTGATAAATTAATTGTAAAAACCTTTTAGGGCATTATAAATATGTGATTGAATTTTAATATTTGTCTAGTTAATTGTGATTATCTTTATTCAAAACAGCAACTTTTGATACTGCACAACGATTTGTCTCTAAGCTCTGATATGAGCTTTATTTAAAAAAGCAACAAAAAAATTAAAATAATAAATAATAAAGATGAATAAGCAGCTGAAAAGGTTGTGTCTTGGATAATAAAAGATGTCTTATTTATATATGCATTCTGTCCGTGACTAAAGCAGAAAATATAAAGTATATCCTCACACAGCAAAAACTTAAATACATGCAAGATTGCAGATTCAGTGACTGGGTATATTTCTAGATGTCGGAAACCCAAAGGTTGTGTCTGTTAGTATGCAGAGTAAGCCCAATTTAGCCCAATTTAGGGAACATTGCTAACAGGGAGTTCTCATTACCCTTTACTGCAGAGACACAACAGACAAACACAAACACGCACACACACACAATCACATACTGTGCATGACACAGGAAGGACATGCGAAAAGACACAAACTCAGCCAAATTGAACCGAACATATGACAATAGACCCCATTCATATTCACAAAGGAGCATCGTTAGAGTCAGTGTTTGTTTACTCTTATCTATTCCTGTGAAAAGTATCTTTAATTTTTTTTTAATTGCATGAATAGACATTTCATAGGTTATGATACAACATAATCTGGTGGATGAGAAAACACAAAACAAACAAAACAATTAAAAAAGGACAACCCGAATTTATACAAAACACAAACAAATCAACAAACCGGAATAAAATCTAAATATAACAAAACAAACCACTGAAAAAAATAATTAATCAATTTTATTTTATTTTGTTGTTATTTTCATTATTTCACCTTGTATTAGCTATTTTTTCATGTACTTTGTTCTTGTATGTTTGAGTTGCTTTGTTAAGATATTCAGTTTGTTATGACTGTTAAACAGTTTTCCCTGATAAAATTCAATAAAATACTTAAATGAATAAGTAAATAAATAAATTAATTAATTAATAAAAATGAATGAATAAATAAATAAATAAAAGAAAACACAAAATATTAAAACATTATAATAAATACAATAATATTCTCAATTATAATATAATAATAATGATAATAATAATAAACAAAAATATATAAATCATAACATGAAAAACAACTGAAACAAAATATATTGATTGAAAATAAATAAAATAATAACGTAATAAAATATTAATAAAACAAAAAATAAATAAACAAACAAACAAATACTGCAACTAAATAAACAAATAAATTCAAATTCATAAACAATAAAATAAAAAAACAACATTATAAACTATGCTAAACAAATGATAAGCAAATATTTAAAAATATTAAACAAAACAAAATATTAAAAACAAAATAATAAAATAAAACAAAATAAACAAACGATTACTGTAATTGAATTAAAATTTTTTTAATTTAAATAAATAAATGATAAAATAAAACAAAACAATTAAAAATTCAATATAAATTGAATTATTATTATAAAAAATATAAATAAGTACATATATGATAAAATTAAATAAAACAAATTAAATTTAAAAAATAAGTATAGAATATAAATAAATATATAAATAAATATATTCACTATATTCTATCATTATAAATATAATTCATAATAAAATAAAACTAAACTAAAGAAAAATGAAAACAAAATAAACAAATAAACAAACTAAATGACGTAAAAAAACTAATGTAAATAAACAAACAAACAAACAAATAAATAAATAAATAAATGGATGGATGGGTGGATGAAAGCATGAATTAATTAATTAATACATTAAATGTATTTAAAAAAGATTATAAAAACAACAAAAAAACTATACTTTAAAAGACTTTATACTTAATAAACAAATTTAGTAAAAAAGAAAACAAACACACACACACACACACACACACACACACACACACACACACACACACGAACACGCACACACACAACCCTGCACCACGAAAGTTAGTAATAAAGTCAGCAAAGTAACATGAGCCTGACGGTGGTCTGAGGACTCCACAGATGACGCTACATATGTCCTTTTCTCTTAGTGCCTCTGTGCAGGGATCTGAAGGACACACTGGAGAAATCATGCCTGAAATGAGCCTCTGATGCAGGGGGGCCAGCAGGGGACAGACGCCCCAACAGATCAACCAAAGTGTGTGTGTGTGTGTGTGTGTTTGGTCTACTCCTGCACTCCCCTTCACATGCCAATAAAGCGTTACGGCGGGCAGATGGTCATCTTGTCATCTTTTATTTTTCTTAGCAGCGGGTGACGTGTGCTGTGTGTCCCTGTGTGGCCAGTTGTACAGTATCAGACGGGACTGACACTGAACTTGAGGACTAAGGTTTTCAGCATAGATGGACTGAATAGACTGGACTGGATTGAGTATTCCTCAATTTTTGGATAAACAAAACACAGAGCAAAACAATTCAAAAATAGCTAACCAAACAAACAAACACATGCATTCATAAACACAACAAACACACGCATTCACACAACAAACCAAAATAAAACATCACAACAATAAAATAAACAAATGAATACATTACAAACACACACAAACACAACCAAATTTAACAAAAACTTTAAGATTATAAACAAATTACATTTGAATTTAAATTTAAAAATAAAAAAAGAAATTTTAGAAAAACAAATGCAACAAAAAACAATAATAAACCAAAACAAAAGTAAAATCTCTTGCATGAACACAACAAACACACGCATACACACGACAAAACAAAACCAAACCAAAATAAAACACATCACAATAATAAAACAATAAAAAATACATTTAAAAGACACAAAAACCCAACAGAATTTACACAACAGAATTACAGAATTAAACAAAAGATAATTTAGTTAAAACTTTCATTGAATAATGTTAACAAAAATTTAAAAAATAAAAGGATGAAAAACATGAAAGTCAAAACAAGTAACAAAACTAAAATAAAAACATAAAGATAATAAAAAATAAAACAATATAAAATAACAATACCAATAAATAAATAAATAAATAAATATGGAAATAAATATGGAAATAAAATAAATAAATTAAACTGAAAATGAATAAAATAAATAAATAAATAAATAAATAAATAAATAAATAAATAAATAAATAAATAAATAAATGCACTACAAACTAGACATAAAGCATAACAAACAACAGCAAGACCATTTAGTTAAAACTTTAATTGAAAAATGTTGACAAAAAAATTATAAATAAATAAAAAGATGTAAAACACACATGCAAACAAATTCAAAACAAACTAAAATTAAAAACAAAACAAAAAAAATAAACATTCATAATAGAAAATTCAAACATGAACATTCAAAACAAGTAATAAAACACAAATCAATACCAAACAAAAACATACAACAAAACAAAAACAAAAAATAAATATATTAAAATAAAAAATAAAATACTACTACTATGAATAATAAGTAAATAACTAAATAAATAAATGAATGTAATAAAAATGTAATTTATAATAAAAAAACTAACAAAAATAAAGTACATAGATTTAATAAATAAAATTATTAAATACTACTACTAATAAATAAATAAATAAATAAATAAATAAATAAAACTGAAAATAAAATAAATAAATACCCTTTTTTTATAAAAAAGAAAAAACATACCAAAAAACAAAAATGATCAAGGATCTAACAGGCCAGAGGATGACACCGAAACAAAGAACGGAAGGAGGGCTGGAGATGTGAAGCGGGCACAGGAAGTGAGTGTTGTATGTTAAGTTGAACAGACTATCGCTGTCACGAAGGCCATGAATAATTTATCAGGAGACTGAGCTGAATGTTACAGAGTGTGAACCAGAGGACAGCTTAAAATGGCCAGACAGGCAGATGCACGCTCTAAACCATATCACTGATGAATTAAACATGTATTTGATAAAAAAATTAACAAACACAGAGCACTTGAGTCATACTTACAAGATTAGAGTAGATGGGCAGGTCCTTGTAAGGGTTTATGAGGAGAAGAATGTGTCCAATGTAGGTCTGAAAAAAAAATCAAGGTCAATTTATAACAAGATATTTACAGGACACTACATGTAAATTCTGTTAAATATATGCAGCTATTTTGAAATAACAGTATTTATTGTCAAATACTATAATTATTATAATAATATCTTACTAAAGGAAAGGAAATGAAATTAAAGGAAAGGAAAGTAAAGGAAAGGAAAGGAAAAGGAAGGAAAACAAAAGGAAATGAAGGAAAAGGACAGGAAAGACAAGGCAAGACAAGGCAAGACAAAGCAAGGCAAGGCAAGGCAAAAACAAAGGCAAAGGCAAGGGGAAAGGCAAAATGGCAGGGCAGGGCATGTCAGGACACGACAGAACAGGAAAGGAAAGGACAATAAGTAAGGGCAAGGCAAGACAGGACAGCAAAGGATAGGAAAGGAAAGAAGAATAAAAAAACAGGACGGACAGGAAAGAAAAGAAAAAGACAGTACAGGGAATGAGAGGAAAGGACAGGAAAGGCATAGCAAGGGCAGAGCAGGAAAGAAAATGGAAAAAAAAACAGGACAAGACGGAAGGAGAAGACAGAACAGAAAAGATAAGGGACACACATATATATATATATATATATATATATATATATGAATGATAAAACAGGACATATATTTATATATCACACAAAATCAGAGAACAAACTGAAATGTTGTTATTTTGAACAAAATCCAGTTCAAAACATCTCGCCTGTTGCAAACGTTTGGGGGTAGTTTGTTTTGGCTCCCAAACACCCTTGCGCTACCATTGGGACATGATTTGGAATCAGTGGATGTTGTCTGGAACTCAATTCATTTCTCATTCAAGGAGATCAGACGGGAGAACAACATCAGTAGTCACATGAATACCCTGTAGGGTCGATTAGCAGAACTGGTGCAGATGTATCCGCACCTGTACAATTGCTCCTATAGATATATTAAAGGCTCAGGGGGGTCACACACCAGACAATAAGCCCATCTTATCATTCCACATCTTTTCTACGAGAGTATGTACACTAGGGTCAGCATTGAGTGCCTGTAACACAATGTAAAGATGTGGTGGTGCTTTGATAGTATATAAAGCTGTTTGTTGTGGCCTTTTGATCTGGCAATGGAAGCATGGTTCAAGTTATTCATTTTACTCACATTTATTCAATCTTCCTGTTTATTTTGTAAATAACTGACCAACTAAAAATTGTGTTGGTGTGACACAGCAGGGATGAGAACCTCCAAATTCAAGGCCACGATGCACATCCGGAAAAAAATTGCTTGTCATCTCCAGGTTGGAGGAGAGTCCTTGCCCCAGGTGGTGAGGAGTTCGAGTACCTTGGGGTTTTGTTGATAACGAGTGAGAGAATGATGGAATGTGAGATTGACAGGATGATCAGTGGAGCAGCAACAGTAATGTGGTCGATTCACTGGTCCATTGTGGTAAAGTAGGAGCTGAGCCGAAAGGCAAGCCTCTTGATTTACCAGTCAATCTACATTCCTACTCTCACCTATGGTCATGAGCTTTGGGTCATGACTGAAAGGACAAGATCTTGGCCACAAGTGGTCAAAATAAGTTTCCTTCGTAGAGTGACAGGACGCACGCTTACAGATAGGGTGAGAAGCTCTGTCACCCAGGAGGAACTCGGGAGTAGAGCCGCTGCTTTTCCACATCGATAGAAGCCAGTTGATGTGGCTCAGCCATCTGACTAGGATGTCTCCTGGACACCTACCTACAGAGGTGTTTCAGGCATATCCCACTGGGAGGAGGCCACGGGGAAGACCGTGAGGAAGATATGCTGGAAAGACTATTTCTCTCAGCTAACCTGGGAATGCCTCAGAATCCACTCAGAGGAGTTGGAGGGTGTGTCTGGGAAGAAGGAAGTCTTGGGTTCTCTTTTGAGACTGCTGCCTCTGCGACCTGGCCCCGTACAAGTGGCAATCAATGGATGGAGGAATGAATAAAATAAAATGCAAATCATTGCAAAAATTGTCTGACCCACTTATTGGCGTATATTTTGGTGTACTGCCATCCTACTCAACACACCTTTATGACAAGTAATATTTAAACAAAAGCACAGGCCACTTTTTAACGGCTACAGCACTGTTCTTTTCTCAACCACCATTATTGTTGATTTGTGTAGCTTGACACATTTACAACACTGTCTACAGCATACGATCACTTAGCCTTATCTAACTAACTTCTTTTTGCCCTATAATTATACTTTAGTATAAGCAGACTTACCAAAACACCTTCACTAAGTTCTTTTTGCCATCAAACTATACTGGAGCCTTTAGTATAAGTATAGTATAAGACCTACAAAACTGAAAACGCAAGTGGGAGGTGTGATTGAATCAAATAAGCAACATCATGGACTTCGTCTCTCCAGAAGAAAACATGGATCAATCTACTCCAATAAAGTGCACATCTGGCATCTCTCATTCTTTTCCATCTCCTGCTAAACGATCAGTAAAGCATCAAAATCTCCATCCATCACGGCGGTAATGACAGACATCATTAGACCCCATTACAGTGCAACACAAAAGTCCTCTGCTCGCTGCCTCCATATCAGCCTCAGCAGGGAGACTTCATTATGACCCATTGTAAAGTGTGGGAATAGCAGCAGCCATTAGGCATAGATTTGGCTCTGGTCATGAGCGGGCACAGTGTGCAGTCGACTAACTTTAGCTGTGGAGCAAAGGCTTGACCGAAACATCCATAGTGAAGTAGGAGATTTATTTCTTTAAATCGCATTCTCGTTGATTCACAAGAAAAGACAACTTCTTTACTGTATATAAAAATGAATGCCAAAAATAGTTCTTCACTCTAAGAATTAAAACATACAAGCTTTTCACAAATATCAAATAGCTAGAATTTATATGCTAACATCTAGGCTTGACTAATATAGAGCACTCACAAATGAAAACACTGTAGTGTTACTGGATTGCTTGTGTGTGTACTGTTTTTAGTGGCTTACAGTCCGTTCTGCTAAGGAAAGCCCAGAAAGTCTATTCTTCTTTGTCAGTGGAAGATTTACTTCATTAGGTAGAGGTAAAAACTGCCGTTCTTAAAATCTATGAACCGGTCCCTGAGGCTCATCGCTCGAAATTTCGAAATCATCGCAAAACTGATGAAACGTATGTCGAATTTTTGCTTGCGAGAAAGAATCTATGTTTGATCAGTGGTATGGCTTCTTAGATATAAAATAATTTGAAGAGCTTTGTGAACTGATTAAAAAACCAGAACATGTTAAGACTTATTTAAATTGGGTAATATAAAGCACTCTAAAAACGTTTAGGCTCAAAGATTTGGTCTTCTTTTGAAAACTTGAGAAAATTAAATACAATATCAGCGGTAGGGGAGAACAGTTTTTTTTTTTTTTTAATGGCAACAATTTATTGCAATCTTTAATCACTTACAAACCTTAAATGTGGATTGAGTGAAGGTACATGTGTATGTATATATGTATATAGGTTGTTAGTATAATTTCTTCTCTATATTTGTATTTAATTTAGTTATTATTATTTAGTTTTTTTTTTATTTACTTATTCATTTGCAAATGTTGATTGTTTTATTTGTTTTTTTTGGGTTGTTATAAAATGTAAAATGCTAGTGCAAGAATAAAAATTCCATGACAAAAAAAAAAAAAAAACTTTAGCAGCGTTGTCATGATACTAAAATCCGGTATTAATCAGTACTGAAATTTTAAAAACGTCCATTTCCCGTTAACATTTGAGCACTGTTGAGAATGTTCTTAAACAGTGCTGATTTGCCATTGTGTTCACATGCTCAACAGAAATGACTGGTGAGTTTGGTAAACTAATGACTTTCACAGCCAATCACACTGTTTACTGAGTGTAAACACAGATGCAGGGACACTGGAGCATTTTAAAGCTACAATTCATCACCAAATAGCTTGCATTTCAGCTTATAGACAAACCAGCTGATCGACGTGACTCATTTCTGTTGAGCATGTGAACACAATGGCAAATCAGTGGGGTTTAAGAACATGCTCAACAGCACTCAAATGTAAGGGGGAAATTTTAAAATTTCAGTATCAATTAATAACAAATTGCAATATTGTGACAACCCTACCCTGCAGTGTCACTGTGTTGTTGTGTGTTTGCGCTGTTTTTGGTGGTTTACCGGGACAGAAATTTGTATAAAGTAATGAGTTAGACTTGGTTGAACTCTATTAAGGTGCGTTAAGAGGACATGCCTTATGCCCTCGTAATTCTAAATGCTTAAAACTCATACTTATTGGGCTCTTATCATTTTTGAAACAAATGCCACAGATTTTCTGTGAGGATTAAGGGGTAGAAGTAAGGTGAGGCTATTTAATAAGCATTTTTTAAAACTGTATAAAATACATTACGCCTATGGAGAGTCCTCAATACAATTGTGTAAGTGTAATAATAATAATATTAATAAAATTTCTTTAGAAACTATTTATTTTCCAAGGTTATTAAACTGAAGAGAACTGATTCCTCAAAATACTAAACTAAACTAATATTCAATAATTAGCAAAGTGCACTTCCCTTTAAGTAAAAAAAAACATTTAAAGTTTAAATAGTTGCAGTTAATGTTAATCTATTTACTAACATGAATAAACAATGCCTGTGAAGCCTTTATTAATTCGAGTTCAACATTTGTGAATGTTTAGTTATTAATAAATTTGCTACACAGAGCGTAGAGCATGGGCAGTAATGTCACTCTCAGTACTCTCAGTGACAGAAAGCAAGCAGCTGTAATTGAGTTGCGTGTAGGATTATAGTAAACATCAGTGGTAGCAGCAGTCATTGTAGTAGCAGCTATCAGTAAGGACAGCAGCCGTTAACAGAGTGTCAATGTAAGAATGTCTTTTCATCTCGTCAGTGCTGCTCAAGTCTCTGGCCGGAATACAGTGAGACCTCGAGGGCTGCCATCCAAACACCAGTCCCTGGCCATGCTACAAACAGAGCCCCTGGCTTTTCTCCAACACCTCCCACAACAGATCCAGCAGCAGCGTTTGTGTGTGTGGGAGACTGGACCGGAAGGCTTGCTGAAAGCCCAGAGAGTGTGTGACAGGGGCCAAAATCTGGACGAAACTTCCTTTAGAGTGGGTTAGAACAGAGAGTGAAAGACTTCTTCTGAATGGGACAGACTAAAGAAGGCATTTACGCAACAGAGCTTTCATATAAAAATTAACAACAATTTGTGACTTGTTTTGGCTGTTTATTGAAATGAAAAGAAAATGCTAACGAGTTTTGAGAAAACCAGCACTGTTGTGTAAACATAACCTGAAGGTTGGGTGTTTATACTTGATCTGTGGGTTTAGATTGTTAACAGAACTCTGACACACCACGTATTTTGCTACGTACATAAATCTGGTCATTGGCGAAGCGCTTCTGCATCTCGTAGAGCAGGCTGCTGTCTGTGAGCTCACTGAGAGATGCAAGGTCATCATTAGGGGCAGGAGGCATCAGTTTCACCTGAAACATAAAACACATTCATCATGATAAAAAGCAATATTAAATTATTTATTGTTTTCCAAGAGATATGAAAAATTAGGGTTTAGAACAATACAAAGATAAGCAAACAATCAGTTCACTTTTGGGTCAATAATCAGGTCTAATGTTTAAGGGACAGTTTATAAAAATAAAAAAAAATCTGTTTTTTTTTTTTTTTTACCCTCAAGTGAATTTTTTGGTGAAGTTGCTGTTTTAAGGTATTGATATGAAATGTTAGTCATGACCCCCATGTACCCTCAGGATCCACAGATATTACTTTTGTTATACATGCATATTTTTTTTCGACTATTGAAGTGCCAACAGCCATTGACTTTTCACTTTATGAATCACCAGAACTCATCCGAAAAAAAATGCTTACATCATAAATGGCATGAGAGCAATTAAATGAACAGCATATTTAATTTTGCACTGAACTATCTCTTTAACTGAGCATGATTATTGTTATGTTTACACATCTGAAACCTTTCTTTTCAGATCATAGCTAGGGCCAGATGGAATCTGCAGGCATTTTTTGCTATTTCTGCACAAAATTTAGTTAAAAATCTGCAGATTTATGCAGAATGATTTTGGGAGTATCATAACTAAAACCTAAATATTGGAACTAAAAAAGTAATACCTTTTTAACTTGAATTTAATGTTTACAATGCAAATCCAATTAGATCCACTTAATTTGGTAAACAAAGCAGGTCTTCTATATAATATATGTACTACAAGACAGAAAATATTACTGTGCAAACTGTATTGTAAAAAAATCAGATGAACATTTTCATATTAGTCAAAAATTATACTGAAAATAATTTAAAAACTGAAAACTGAATTAATATAAGGTTACACATATTTACATAAGTAAATAAACACACTCAATGATGGGCTAAAAATCTGCCAAAATCTGCGGAATTCGGCACTCGCAGATTCCGTGTGGGCCTAACTATAGCTCAGCATGCTAGTTTATTACAATCCTGACATAATCATGCATTGGACATTATTATTCCCTCCTGAGCCAATAAAGTTAAACTGCTTGTTTAATATACTGCAAAAGTGTGTTCATTTAAAAAAGTTACGTTGTGTAGGTTTAATATATAAATATAAAATATATAATCAATCCACTTTCTTCTCCCTAGTACACACACATGCTCTCAACTGTGTGCTCAACAGCACTGCAGGTGTGAGAGTAATTGGAGTGATTTTCTGCTCTGTCTTCAGAGGTCAGAGGTCATTCTCAGGGTTAGAGGGGTCAGAGTGTGCAGTGGGATAGATTACTAGCGCTCTCTACATCCAAACTATGACTGATTCTACTCTCTTCTCTCCAATACAAAGGGTAAAACCTAAAGACAGGATCTAAGTGCATTAGATGGTACCATTTCTCTTTAGTAGCCTTTAGGATGAAGACAAATCACTCTAACCATGCAAGTGCATTGAACACCAATGTTTACAGATGTATCCTAGAACGAAATAATGAATGGAAAGAGTGGGGTGGGGGCTACTGTACAGTCTACAGATGTGCATACATACGGTAACATAAGGGGTGAAGAAAAGTCTCTTTTTTAAGATTTATTGTAAGCTGTTTTTAAGCTGACAATTTAAAACTGACAATTTAATACATGAAAATTTGCATATATTTATGTCTATGTTTTAAAAACCTAGCATAAGTAGATCACTTTCAATGTCCAAGTGCATTAAACACTATATAAGCATCCGTTTAAGCACTATATAAGCAAGACAAAAAATAACTAATTAATTAAATAATGTAAAACATATCGTGATAAATAAACCAGGCCAAATTTTAAACTCACCTGTGGTGCCTAAAATGCAAAGTACTGCTGTGAAACAGAGCTAGTGTAATCTATTACACTTGCAGCGTGCTTGACTTGGATGACCGCAATAGACACTTTAGACTTTTTACAAACTCTTTAGGGAACAAAAATCCCCAGACAGCCCCCATCTCTCCTCTGACCTGCTCCAGTTTTCCTGCAGCGCTGGGATATGATCCATCCAGCCCGTTATCAAGGGAAGCCTGCTGTGTCAGAGCACCTCCAGAGTCCCTAAACATGGCCTCCTTCTCCAGCAAACTGTCCCTCCTGGAGATGGGCAGAGCCATGGTAGCCCTGAAGAAAGGAAAAAAATATATATAATAAAACTATTGTCAACAAAATCCAACTTTGAATTGCTATGGTGCCAGAGAAGATACATTTAAACTGGGATTTTTGTGTATCTACATATGGCTTGTTTACACTGAGTGGTACGGTTCAGTGCGTTATAATACGGTACATATTATTTATCCATTTCCACAATCAGAAGTGTCAAAATAGCAAACCATACCCTTTTGTAACACTGTGTCCTAATTACAAGCAACATGGAGCTGTAACATGCAAGAAAAGGTATATATTTTTTTATATTAAATCAAGTTCTGTCCTAGCCATATGTGACAAAGATGTTAAAAAAAATCTATTTTAGCAACAGTTTCTATTTTTCACAACGTCACAGAAAAACAACAGCATGTGTCAGTTATTACCTCAGGTACTGATTATGTGCTTTATTCAGTGTCAAATGCAACCAATGTGAATTTATCGTAGGTAGTTCACCTTGAAAATAAAATTACCACATCAGTCGTCAGCCATTTGTAATAAGGTTAAATATGCATTAACTAGAATATAACCTACCATTCCGTTTTTAGTGAAGGCTGATATTTAAATGAATGGCTCGCATTTAAATGTTTATGTCGTGTCGCATCGCGTTTGGTGCAGATAGCCAAATTGCTTATTGCTGGCAACTGGTCGTACCGCATGCTGTTAATGCATGATGTAAGGGCACCTAGCTCAACAGCATGGTAGCGAAAGGGTAGAGCAAGACACACTGCTGAACGCTATTGTAAAAGTAGATGAGAAGTAGCCGGATGACATACTTCTTCCGACAAATTGACACCACACTATCCCACAATGCACATAATCAATGCAACTGATGAAGGTAGGTCACGTGATGATGCCAAAATGGTGGATGCAACGTCCAAATTTCATTTAGACTACTCGCATTCATACTAAACAGAAAATCATTTTAGTTAATTAGTACATTCTAATTTGATTTGATTAAATCATTCTTTGATTAAATCATCCAAAATCTGTGCTTAATTTGATGAATATCGGGTATGATTACATAATAAATGAGCTTAATATCTGGTTTAATGCACCTGTATGTACATACAGGATTTAATATTTTACTTACGTTTTAAAAAGTATATGCATATTATTACATCTGTAATTATATTTATATTTACAATGTTAAACCATCCTTTACGCCTTTTCTCTTCCTTAAACGTAGACTACGCCAAACCTGTCCGTAGCTATACCTGAACCCCCCAAATCAAAAGCACCATTGCACTGCACAACACAATATGAACACAATAAGCACATCATACTTATATTTCCATGTATATAACTAGTAGTTAGGGCCACATAATTTAACGTGGTACTGAATAATACAAAAAATTAATAAATAAATTTAAAAAAATAAATAAATAAATAAATTTATCTCACTGTAATCTTGGAATTAATATAGATTAATCTAGATTAAATTAGCTCATTTGAATCCTGCCGAAGGCATTCAGAATATGTGTGCTACCCAAATAATGACTAAAACTAAGTCTTTGAGAACGGGTTTCTCAAGCCAGGTGGCGCATTAGACCAGGGGCTCCTGTTTCCAAAATGCATCACAAACCGCTTGAGAAACTGTTCTACTACGATAATTGGGGATGAAAATAAATGATGTTCAATAAGATGTGCATGTGTTTACTAACTGTTTATTCAGTTAAACATGAATTTTGAACTGTAGGCCTACATAAGCTCGAAACAGTGATTTTTGATTATCCTAATCCGACTAAAGTCATAACTGAACTTAAACAGAAATAATATTACGACATGTTGAAAACTCCAAAACACACTCAGCGGTCCTTACTCTTTGCACCAAATACCCCAGTTTGTCACGGGGGCAGGAATGAAATATTCATGAGTGAATGTGAAACTGCCGAACTGCAGTTAAAGTCACCCCAAATTACAGGAAACTCTTACATGAAAGCACTTCACGTAACCACCTTAATTATATTTTTGTCTATTAAGGTAAATAACTTGATTACAGATGTCCATGTAAACGTAATCAGTAGTGTCTTCAAAGTAATTGAAAGATCCAGAAGAGCATCTTGCTGATTAGATTCAAAAGGGCACTTTTTTGTCAGACGGCTCATCAGTTTGACTTTCATTCACTCTCATTCATTTTAAAAACACCCGCTACATTTTATTTGTATATGTTTTACTCAAACGCATAAACTCTTCAGGTGCCTGATAGATGTGGAGCTAACATTAATCAGATTCACTCTAGTGAACTCCATCCATGTTAGCACGTCACGTTTGATGTGGTAATTTCACAGTAGGAATACAAACAGGTTCGAAGACTCGTTCTCGCCCCCTACTGTACAATTTGGCCAGGTATACATCTGCGCTAAAATATCAAGTTGAAAGTCATCATAGCTTGCATAGAAAAGACCCAGCACCCAACCCAACTTTGATAATAGATTAACCGCGATTGTTTTTAATCACCTGATAAGTGTCGTTTCAACGCAGCATGTAAACACCGATAACGGCCCACCACTGAAATATTTATAACATGTTTGATAACATTCTTCTAAATTTCAAATAATATTAACATCATTAAAAGCTTTTTTTTTTTGGCAGAAAATGAGAATGTCTCCAAATAAGACGTTTCCATTTGTTGTGATTGAAAACGAAGAACGCTTATCTCCGCTTATGGTACTGATTTGTCAAAAAAAATAACATAATATTAACATGTTTGAAAAAATGCATATTTTGTTTAATATTTAGAACAAACATCATTAATTTGCAAAACTAAACAAAAAATCCAGGCTAGATAAAGTGGTCAGTTTCTTTTTATTCAGCCTTATCAGTCTGACTTAGCCAATCACTTCTTGGAACTACAATTTGTGAATTTTCTACAATCTATAATGTTTATATCCCTGAATTATCCACACATTCGCTAAAACATGAATAAATCTGTCTCTGCTGTACGTACAGTTTTTTAACAGGCAGGTTGTCGTCCTGGTTGGCCTCAGCAGAGTGATCTTCAGACTGTGGAGGAGATGCAGAGGGGTCTCTCTGTCTCTGTACCCAGAACTCCTCTGCTCTCAGCAGCATCTCCGCTATGTGCTCAGTCGCTGCAATGTCTGAATAAGTAAAAAAAAAAAAAAAAGAAAGCTGTGGGTAAATGTATACACCATCTTGACTGAAATCAGAAGTGCTTACAGTTCAAAAACCAAACGGAAAAGCCCATGAATCTGGTTTCAAAGAGACTTTTAAAACAAATTTTAATACATAAAACATCTTCAGTATAAAAAGAATGAACTATTGGTCGATCTACTGATTTTGAAAGAGAAGGCAGATGGTTCATCTTTAAAATCTGACGATTATTAGTGACTAAAGACAGCATTTATAATATCATTTTGAGCCATGATTTTTCTCTGGGGTCCAATTGATTTCTCTCTAAATCCCTCTATTTCTCACCCCCCGTTGTCTGTCACATGGATGTGTCCATATTGTGATGGGCACTGAGCCCTCCTGCAGATTGATCCATCTGTGCTCTGATCTAGGGAGTGGGGTTTGATAATCCATCTCTATGAAATGAGCAAACAGCCTAATTTTTTTTTTTTTTTTATGAAACTAAGAGAATGTGACACCCAAAGAGAATGATTCTCCAACCATACATCCATTCTCTCAGAAAGACAGATATCTGCAGTGCTCTCTAAAGATACTTTAAGTGAAAAGAAAGGATTGACTTTGCCTCTGTGTTTTATCCCAGACATCCTTGAGTTAAGCCGGGGTGTTAGAATGAGCTATTGATTAGACTCTAGAGAGAGGAGACTAGTAAATTGGTGAAGACTGATCTAACACCTCGCTGGAGATTCAGTATGAGGTGCACGAGTCTCCTCAAAAGCTCATGCAAATCATGCAGGACATAGACAGGCTGAGGTCTTCCGCTGGTTTCCTAATCAGTACATTTGGGCTGCTTTCATAATTGCTGATTTTTTTCCCGCATTAAATTGTTCTATTATCCTTTCGACAAATGTTTTATTCTTGCTTTTTTCTTGTACTAAAATGAGTACGGTACTGTACACATTTCACATTTCAAATGTATTTTTACATACGTATTTCATTTGCTCTACATATTCAAGATTAAGCCAGAAATGCCCCATCACAAATAAGCCAAATTCATCATTACAGCTTTTATGATTAAATAAATGAATGCATACAATTATAATTTGCTGCATTACATTTAGATCTTTGCATCGGTATTCTTGAATGCACTTCATGTTATTTTATTTTATTTGTCTGTTTGTTTGTTTGTTTATTTATTTATTTTTGTTTTTTCTATTATTTTTATTATGTTATTATTTACAGTTGGCGAAGCAGTGGTGCAGTAGTCTGTCGCCTCACAGCAAGAAGGTCGCTGGTTCGAGCCTCGGCTCAGTTGCCATTTCTGTGTGGAGTTTGCATGTTCTCCTTGCATTCACGTGGGTTTCTTCTGGGTGCTCCGGTTTCCCCCACAGTCCAAAGACATGCAGTACAGGTGAATTGGATAGGCTAAATTGTCCGATAAAGATAACGATGGTTATTAGTTATAATTACCAGTTTGCACGTTGTTTTTGTGAACACTATAATACTATACTATTTGAACACTAGAAAATTTGCATAGTTGCCCAAATTAATGTCACGCAAATGGTTTTATAATGAACGTGCCCCATAGAGTAGGATGTAGTGAGACTCGAATGTTGTTTCAGCAGTAAACAGCTGTTCAGCGAACTCCAATAATATTTAGCTGCAAACCCTTCAGATCAATGTTTTAACAGATTTAGAAAGTTGTTACTGTATTTGACATATATATATATATATATATATATATATATATATATATATATATATATATATATATATATTTTTTTTTTTTTTTTTTATGCATATAAATAGAAGATCAATAGATGAATAGTCTTATTCAAAGCAGCAGCAGTTTTTTTTTTTTTTTTTTTTTTTGCCATGTCCTGGTGTTCTGTTGTCCTGTCAGAAAGTAAAGAAATCAGGAGCTTTGAATCTGTGTTAAAATGTATATAATGTTTCGCTTTTTTATTATTATTTTTTTTTTTATAAAATATGTAGCAAAAAAAAGAGAATAATAATAGAAGGCAAAAGGCATGTTTTGCTAATAAATAAAGCTTTAAAATGACCATTTACTCCAGACAATCAGTTTGGGCCTTCAAACAAAAATTGGAGAAGGAGGTTGCCCTCGAAGTGAAAAATGTGAGAACCCCTGGTTTAGACGATGCATGCTTTAAGACACATGTCAAAAGTTTCTTTGTGTAAGACTTGTTTATTACATATCTAATATTAGCCACTTGGTTGCTTGGATTCTGAATTCCTGTCTGTTGCAGGCTGTGTAAAAAACAATCAAAAAAAATCCAGCTGAAATCATTAAGGGTAGCAATACTAAACTTTAACATGGCTACAAACAGCTTGGAACTACTTTATCTGTGTGTTTGAATGAAAATAATTTCAGAATATAAATAAGGTTTCAAGATCATATAGTATATAGCAAGTCTGTATAGCACTGTAAAACTGATGTTAAAATTTACATGAATCAAACGTTACTGAGACTTTTTTTTAGTATGTTCATGCACTTCTAACTGAAACAGAATACTGAGTAGCGAGTGGGGCGTTCTTTTGCTCTCATTCTCGTTCTTTTCAAATAAGGTTTTTGCAGGCATGTTAGGGTTTAGATTTTAAACTGAAATTTGAAATGTGAACGCTGGGTGTGCCTTTTTTATTTGAAAAGAGCACATTTTCGTGTTTCATTAAACAGTATTTCCCTTTGAAACTCTTGGCTTCAATTAGTTTTGTCAGATGTGAATCATCCTGAGCCACAGGCTAGTGGAAGCAGATTCACAGACATCAGCAGAGGGCAGAGAAAGAGAAAACTGAAGAAATCTGCTCAGCTAGGAAATATTCACCGCCCGAAGAATGCTCTAGAGAGGAAAAGCAGTCGAACACACTAAAAGAAAGACAAGTGTATGTCATCTTTTACCATATGTTTTCAGATATATTCTGTCAAAGTTATAGAATTGTACTACAGAGACTATAGTAGCTGGTATGTAAGAAGACCGTGCAGCTTTGTGATCTTAAAAGGGCCTTTTATGTTTTTTTTCACACTTTTAATTTTAACTTTCTTCCTTTAGTGCACAATCTCTCTGTTTGATCATGAGAAAATACTGACAAAATCGCTTGTTCGCTCATAATTACAATTAATAGATTAATTAATTAAATAATTGATTATTAATTAACATTTCAGGTTTTATTTGTAATAATAATAATATCTTTAAGAGAAGTGTTTCAGTAGACTCCCACACCTGCACAATCACATTATAAACACATACTAATAATATCTTTAAATTTACTGATAAACAATTAAAACTTTCCATCCAGGCGATGCAGTGGTGCAGTAGGTAGTGCTGTCACCTCACAGCAAGAAGGTCGCTGGTTTGAGCCTCAGCTGTGTCAGTTGGCGTTTCTGTGTGGAGTTTGCATGTTCTCCCTGAGTTTGCGTGGGTTTCCCCCACAGTCCAAAGACTTGTGGTACAGGTTAATTGGGTAGGCTAAATTGTCCATAGTGTATGTGTGTGAATGAGTGTGTATGGATATTTCCCAGAAATGGGTTGCGGCAAAAAGGGCATCTGCTGCGTAAAATGCTGGATAAGTTGGCAGTTCATTCCATTGTGGCTACCCCGGATTAATAAAGGGACTAAGCCGAAAAGAAAATGAATGAATGAACTGTCCATCCCTCCTTAAATAAGCACTTGAGAAGGGAATGGAACATTCAAATAAAACTGGCCATAAAGTAGGCTTAATTTTATCATTTTATTTGTATGTTATTATTTTCATCATCATCATCATCATCATCATCATCATCATCATTATTATTATTATTATTATTATTATTATTATTTATATTGAAAATAGTAAAAAAAATAAAAAATAAAAAACAACATTCTCAGAAGTCCATGCGTTTCATTTTATGTTATTAAATTATTGTTATTTTATAACTGCGTTAACGTGACTGTGTCAGGGTTCTGTTACTCTAGTCTTATAAATTCTTGTTTTGGTGGCAGAGTCCGGACACTAGCTCTGTTTTGTCCTGTCGTGTTGTGCTCGGCTCCCGGGTTAAGCACCAGTTTTCTGTCATTGTGTGTGTCTCTGTATGGGCGCCATCGTGAGTGCACGCAGACCGTGTGTGCTGCACTTGATGCAGGTGAGCGGAGTCTGTGCGTGGTTGGGACGCGTGCTCTTGTACTCGTCTTTGTGTTTTGTTTTGTCGGCATTGTGTTGTTTTATTCTTAGCATCTTAGTCTGGTTGGTTTTCATTTCAGTTGACGCTGTGATGAAACATGCGCATTGCAAATGTGTGAGCACACGGTAAGGGGTTTTAATTTATCGTGTACTTGTGACTTGCGCTTGTTTGGTTGTGTTGTCCAAGCACGTGGCTCTGTGTTTACATTGTGGTCTCGTGCTTCAGTCTTGTGCTTTATTGTGAACGCGCAGTTAATGAGTTCTCTCAATGGCTGCATGTTCTTGACCTGTTTTATGTGAGCACATGGCTTGTGGTTTACTTTTGTTTTGTGTTCTCCTATCTATTGTCTAGTCCCACCCCCCATGTTAGCCCATTATTAGTTAATTAAGTTCACCTGTTTATGTGTTAATTATTTCTGCTTATATTCTCCTCATGTCTGCTGTCCTGTGCCAGTTCGTTCTCACATGTTGCCTTGTCCTGAGTTTTTCAGTCCTGAGTGTTCCAGTCCTGATCCCTGCCAGACTGCCCATCCCAATTTTTTTTTGATTGTTTTTTGTTTGTTTTTTTTGTTAATGGTTTTCCCCTTGGTGTAGTTTATTTTACCTTTTTATTTTATTATAAATAAATACCCTTTACTCTGCACTTTGGTCCTCGCTCCTTTTTCCGCAACCACAAACCGTAATATACAGTGTTTTGTGTTTGCGCTCAAAAAATAAAGGGCAGAAAAAATTAAGAAACCACTTGAAATGCTCAGTTATTCCAGATTTATGTGTTTTGGTTGAAATTATATAATTGGTATTGTGCTTCATAACATTTTTATAAACATGTCTAAAAGAAATGCACAGTTTTTGGCTATTTTATGCAACAACCAAAAACAAATAAAATAACAAAATTCCCTAAAGGACAACATTTTATGTATATTTGCAAGGAACTTGAACACATTTTGTCATGAGTAGGGTATAAAATAAAACACAAAACTTGTTATCAAGCACCAAATTATAAATCATAAATACAAATTAATCCATGGTCTCTTAAACAAAACACAATTAGGTTAATGCATACAGTATATAATAAAACAAACACCTAATAATGACTTTGAACTCAATAACTGTATATAATAGAATGCTTTATAGGCAATTTACATTGTAAAAACTTAAACTAAAGCAGTTCGAACTAGTGTGTGTATTGTATATACCCTAGCTGAGAATTGTCACCTATGCAAGTCTTAGAAACAACAAGTAATAACTTGACTTCTAGTTGATCATTTGAATCTGAAGTGGCTTATAGGTCTATATATAGCTATATGCTTATATAGATGAATATTATTTATTGTTATTATGGCAAAGGTAAAATAAATCAGTTATTAGAGATGAGTTATTAAAACTTTTATGTTTAGAAATGTGTTGATAAAAACTGCTCTCCGTTAAACAGAAATTGTGGAGAAAAATATACGGGAGGGGGGGGGGGAGGAGGGGGTAAAATTCTGACTTCAACTGTATATATTTTTTCTCTCCTCTAGATATATACATACAGTACACTAGTTTAGTTTTAGCATGTGTATTTGTACCTGAGGGTTTGTCCTGGTTGCAGTTCAGTAGCGTAGGATCTGCTTTGTGCTTCAACAGCTGGCTCACAATGTGGGTCTGTAGGGAAACGCAAACACACAAACATCTCTATGACTCAAAGAGAATACTAAAAGATGTAGGTCACATCTTAAGGAGGTTTGCATCCATCAGCTGTGAGAATACTCTACAACATCAGCTTTGCTTCAGCGTATGCTCACAGCTCACATCTTCAGCACCGCAATCATTAACCACAGCCTGATATATGGACTCGTATGGACTCGTCTTTTTAATTCTGTTTCTGTGCCTCTACTCATTTTGTAATGTTTCAGGTATTTTATTATAGTGTTTCAGACTCAAAGACATTTGGACTCATGCCAATGGAATGTGCATGACATGCGAGTTTGATGTATTATACATGCGTTTGGGTCTAAAATAAACCACTTTGGAGCCCTAATGCAACAGATTAACTTCTGGATGGCCAATGATTGCAGGATAAATTGAAATTGAAGCGGATTTAAGTACAAGAAACGTGACATGACATCTTTTAAGATTTTTACTGTAAAGAATCTACACTGAAATCTTACTGTACTGCATTGTGGATCTTGTTGATGGTTTTACCACAGCTTTCTGAATAGCTTTCACTTTAAGCCAACAAAACTAAAATAAAGATGAGAAATATAGTTTACAGTGTATGAAGTATCAAGATAGGGCAAGAAAGTTAAAAAAAAAATTTAAAAAAAATAAAAAATAAAATAAAATGAAAAAAAATTATATAAATAAAAAGGAAAAAGAAAAATATATAAAAAGTATTTTACATAAAAAATATAAAAAAGTATTTTAATAAAATAAAATATTTATCAATAAAAAACAAATACAACATTTTATTAAATAAGTTTGAATATTGCACTGTGTTGAAAAAAATAAAAATGTGATTATAAAATTAATCTGAAAAATAAAATAAAATACAATAAAAGTATTTATATATTATCATTAGTTTTAATAATAATAATAATAATAATAATTATTATTATTATTATTATTATTATTATTATTTTATTATTATTATTATTATCATCATTATTATTATTATTATTATTAGTAGTAGTAGTAGTAGTAGTAGTAGTAGTAGTAGGAGTAGTGATAGTAGTACTAGTAGTAGTATTTTCCCAGTGATCGGTTGCAGCTGGAAGGGCATTCGCTGCGTAAAACATATGCTGAAGAAGTTGGCAGTTCATTCCGCTGTGGCATACCCAGATTAAAAAATGGACTAAGACGAAAATAAAATAAATGAATGAATGTGAATTATTATTATTATTATTATTATTATTATTATTATTATTATTATTATTACTCTTGTTATTATTATTATTATTATTATTATTATTATTATTATTATTATTATTATTATTATTATTATTATTCATTCATTTGTATTATTCATTGTATAATCATTGGTTCATTATTATTATTATTATTATTATTATTATTATTATTATTATTATTATTATTATTATTATTATTTTCTCTTTGACAAAAGGCATTTAATATTAAAAGTGTCCATGTAAACTTGAGAAACTACTTGACAGATTAGGACAAACAGGCAACTTCCCACAGGCTATTCCAGATTGTATTTAATCTTTTTTTCTCATAATATAAATGAAGGTGCTGCTTCAACAAGAGTGTGTGTGTCATGGTCTCGCATCAACTCAATCAGGGCATTCGGCAATCGCCCACCACAGTGACTGGTAGAGTCGGCAGAGTTACTCAACACTTTCAATAATAACATGCATTTGACTGGCTGTAGGTATAATATTTTCACCCTGTCTACACTGTTCGCCATGGTTTACTGCACATGCAGATACTGTAACTGTGTCTCCAGCTGTTCAGATGCTGAAACTCAAGTGAAACTCTGTCGTTCTGCTGAGTCATTCAACAATCTGCAGTACTAATGACTGACTCGATGTCTGTCTGTGTGTGAAAGAGAGAGAGAATATTCTGTCCTGCTGCGATAAATTATGTATGTGGGCAGTGAAAATATGTGTGTGTGTGTGTGTGTGTGTGTGTTTATAATGTGAGTGTGTGCAGGTGTGGGAGTCTACTGGAACACTTCTCTGAAAACAATTGTATTGTAAACATGCAGTAATATTCTGTGCATTTGAAATGTAGCAGTATAAAGCAAATTAATAATAGAACAATAATTTTCACAATAATATAAATAAACTAATTATGCAGTACTGTGATTAGACTATTTTCCTTTACACTACTCTTCAATGTTTTAGTCTGTTTTACTCTCCATGTTTGTCGTCATTTGATCAAAACTGCAGTAAAACGGTTTATGCAAGCCTGAATTTTAGCATCTGTTATTATTATTTTTTTTTATCTTTAGCATGTCCTCCAGAAATTATTCTAAATAAGTGGATTTTGTGGACTTGTAGAAGACATTCGACCTTGTACCTCAAGGCATTCTGTGGAGGGTGCTCTGGGAGTATGGGGTCAGAGGCACTCTGCTAAGTGCCGTCTCGTCCCTGTATGAACAGAGTAGAAGTCTGGTTTGCATTGCCAACAATAAGCCAGACTTGTTCCCAGTGCATGTTGGACTCTGGCAGGCCTTTGTTACCAATTCTCTTCATAATTATTATAGACAGAATTTCAAAGCGCAGCCTTGGGCTGGAGGGGGTCCGGTTCGGGGACCACAGGCTTTCACCTCTGTTATTCGCAGATGATGAAGTTGTTGGCTTTATCGAACACAGACCTTCAGCATGCACTGGGGCAGTTTGCTCCTGAGTTTGACGCAGCTGGGATGATCAGTACCTCTAAGTCCAAGGCCATGGTGCTCCACCGGAAAAAGGTGGTTTGCCATCTTTAGGTCTTTACCCCAGGTTGAGGAGTACAAGTATCTTGGGGTTTTGTTCATGAGTGAGGAAAGGATGAAGCGTGAGATTGACATGCGGATTGGTGCAGCAGCAGCAGTATTGCAATCAATGTACCGGTTCGTTGTGGTAAAGAAGGAGCTGAGCCGAAAGGCAAAGCTCTCAATTTACTGGTCAATCTATGTTCCTACTCTCACCTATGGTCATGAGCTTTGGGTCATGACTCAAAGGACAAGATCTTGGATACAAGCAGCCGAGTTTTCTTCGCAGGGTGTACCCTAATGGTCTGTCACCCGGGAGGAAAACGGAGTAGAGCCGCTGCTCCTCCACATTGAGAGAAGTCAGCTGAGGTGGCTCCAGCATCCATTTCGGATGCCTCCTGGATGCCCATCTAAGGAGGTGTTCCAGGGATGTCCCACCGGAAGGAGGCCTCGGGGAACACCATGGGATCCCCCTGAAGGAACTGGAGGAATTGTCTGGGGAGAGGCAAGTCTAATAATTGTTGCCCCCACAACCCGGCCCCAGATAAGCAGTAGAAAATGAATGAATGAATGAACGAATGAATGACTGTTTTAAAGGATGTTTTAATGTATTAAAGGAATAGTTCACTCAAAGTTTGTCATCCATCACTCATCAAACATGTTTGAGTTTATTTTTGTTTAACACAAAAAAAGAATGAAAAAGAATGTTGGGAAGCCATTGATTTCCATTGTACGTTTATTATTTTGTAGTTTTCTACTATGGATGTGATGGCTGCTAGATTTCAAACATTTTTCAGAATTTCATGTTTTGTGTTCAAAGGAAGAAAGAGATGAACGTTTAGAACCACTTGAGCGTAAGTAAATGGTAAACTTTGCCTTTATGACTGAAATTACAAATTTTACATGCTGTTTTAACACAAAGTTAACATGTTGCTAACATAGCCTAATTCTACCATGGTTAATGCTTCTCCTACATGTTTATAACATGTTTAACATTATGCCGTTGTGAAATAGAATCAAAACGGCTTTGATGTGCACACGTTGCTAGCGTAAACCGACACATTTTAGAATATGGCTAAAATGTGTTAACATGATCCTAACAATTTTCTATGTTGCTTATATGTTTCTTGCATGGCTACTAACATAAACATGCTGTTGTACTGTCACTGTAAATTGCTAACAGAAATTAACAAGTTTTAACATTATTAATGGCATCAAATGCTACTAGTAGATTCACTGGCTAATACAATGAGTCACTAGCATGTCTTTAACATATTTAACATTTTTAATAGTATGCAGCATGATTTAGCAGTTTTATGATTAATGAAACCATTTTAATGCTAACATGTTGCTTGCATAAACTGCCATGTTTTAGCACATAGCTAAAATGTGTTAACATGATCCTAACAATTTTCTGTTGCTAATATGTTTCTTGCATGTTTAAAATATTACTACCATGAAGATAAATGTTGCTAGCATGTTTTTACCATACACGTTGCCAACACGAATTAACATGTTTTAACTTTATGTTAATACAAATAAAATGCTAATTTAATAGCTACTAAATTGTGTCACTAGCATGTTTTTAACACATTTAACTTTTTTAACACTATGCAGCATGAACTCGATTTTTATAATGAATTAAACCATTTTAATGCCGGCATAAATTGTCATGTTTTAACACATGGCTAACATTATTCTAGCATTTAGTGTGTCACAAAAAATATTTTGTGCATAGTTAGCATATAACTAATATGAACATGCATGTTGTTAGCATGTTTCCAACATTTTTTATACTGTTAACTGCTAACAGAAATTAACATGTTTTAATATGTCAAATGCTACTATTAGATTTACTGCTAATAAAATGTATCATTAGCATGTCTTTAACGAATGGAACATTTTTAACAATTTGCAGCATGATTTAGCATTTTTTTTTTTTTGATTAATGAAAAAAATGCTTCGTTTTAGCACATGGCTTTATGTCGCTAAAATATTTTTGTATTATTATTATTATTATTATTAGAATATTGCTAACATGAATTTTGCTAGCATGTTTTTAACAAATTTAACATGTTTATCACTATGGGGCATGAATAAGCATGTTTACAATTAATAAAACTATTTTAATGTTAGCAAAAAAACTAAATTAAACGGTTTAATGTTAAGGTTTGCTAGCATAAATAATCATGCTTTAACACATGGCTAACACTTTGTTAACACAATCCTACCCTTTTTTGTTGCTAAATTTCCCTGTCATAGTTATGATATTACTACCATGAACATGCATGTTGTTATGTTTAAAATACATGTTTCATGAGTTGCTAACATGAATTAACATTGACATTGTCATGACATCAACAATGTTAATGTCATAACATACAGCTAGTGTATTTAGTTACTATAATTTTACCCTCAATTGTTTCTAACACATGCACACACTTGTAAGACTATACCAGGATAGTTTACCATTTTGCTAGCACTCAATTCCATGTTTCAGCAAATGGGTAATCTACTTTTGCATGATCCTAGAATGTTGATATCATGTTTGTTTTTATGCTAATAAAATGTGTCTTGGGTGGTCAGCAAATTACTAACAGGGAACATGAACATTGTTTGCATGTTTCTAACATATGTTTTACGTTTCTAACATGAATTAACATGTTTTCACACTATCCCATCATGTCATAACATGCTGCTGATACATTTACTGGCTAATATAATGTGTCACTAGAGTATTGCTAGCACAACTATGCAATAATGCATTAGCATGTTGATATGCAGAGCGTAATTTGTGAATTGTGAGGTCCCGGAACAGACAAGGGTAACAGATCCGTCATGGTACCTAAGGATGTAGAGGTGCCGCTCTCGAAAGTGGAAGGAGGAGGTGGGGGGGTGGGTTTGAGATAGCGGGGGGATGGATGACGGAGGGGAAGAGCGGAGGGATTTGTTGTAGACGAAAGTGAAGAGAGTTGGGGAGTCACTAAAGACAGTGAAGGTGAACAGCGGACAGGGGAGAAGCGATTAAGGAGGGGGATCAGTAAAATGAGGTGCCGGATCAGATTTCAGAGGTGCCGGATCCAGAATGTTCTGGCACAAATGAAGTCCTGTTTATATGTTGATTAAATCGTTTTAATTCTAACATGTTGCTAGTATTAATTTGTATGTTTTTAACACATGGCCTACATGCTTTTTAGCATGTTGATATCATGTTTTTAGGCTAATAAAACATTTCTTCTTTGTAACAGAGAACATGAACATTATTTTTCACATGTTGCTAACATAAGTTAGCACATTTCAACTAGTTATAATATGAACATTTCATAGCAAACTACTTATACATTTACTAGCTACTATAATTTGTCACTAGGTTATTTCAAACACAAGTACACATTTTTACACTATCCAATAATGTATAAGCATGTTGATTTTTTTAAATTAAACTGTTTTAATGCTAACATGTTGCTGGCATTAATTTCCATGTTTTAACACATGGCTAACATGGTTTTTAGAATGTTGATATCATGCTTTTTAGGCTGATAAAATGTTTATTTTTTGGAACACAGAACATAAACACTGCTAGAATTTTTCACGTTGCTAACATAAATTAGCACATTTTAACTAGTTAGTAATACTAACATATCATAGCAAGCAGCTAGTTCATTTTCTAGCTACTATAATTTGTCACAAGCAAGTTTCCAGCCGTGCACTTGCCTGCAAAAGCCCCAACTAAGACTACATCTCACAAAAGATCTAAGGGAGTACAAGGGAAAGGAGAATATGTAGATGAAGGCAAGAGTACCCGAGGGACAAAAAGAACAAAGGAGAAGTATGAAGAAATGTTCTCATCAGTAGCCTGAAACATTATCAAATATTTGACCGTGTCAGCAGGTCTATCCTTTCCTCAAGAAATCAATCTCCTCCAGCGCAAACTGTGTTATTCAACTCATATAAAACACATTAGTACTTGCATATGATCCTCAACACTCCAGCCCATCTGGCTGGGAATTGGTAAGATCAATGCAAAGCTGAAGTCTCATTAATCAGAAGGAAGAAGGGAGGGTGATAACGAACTGTATTTGGTCTACTATAACTCCAGCATCAATATTCAACTGACCGCAAGCAGCAATATGGCTTAGCGGCTAATGACAAGTAAGCATGAGCCAAACAGAATTTCACTCATGAAAATTCCAATAATTCACATTTGTTTAGTTCTGGGATCAGCAATCTTTTTTGACCAGACTTAAAACAACACCATACATATAACAAGGTGTATGTATGTATAAAAATAAAACAATTAATAAATAATATTTGCTCATCATTTAGTAGAGACAAACCTTTCTTTTTCTTCTGAAGTTCTGAAAAATTACTTATTTTAAACCATTTTAAAACCCTGTAACCACTGTGTTCCATAGTATTTGTTTTTCTTACAACAGAATGTCAATGGTTACAGGTTTCGAACATTTTTGAAAAATCTCCTATTGTGTCTAACAGAAAAATGAAACTCAAAGGTTTAGAAACCACTTGACGGAGGGCATTTTCATTTTTAGGTGAACTACCCTTTCAATACATGTAAATAAATGTACCCATTTATTATTATTGTTATTATTATATATATAATTTGCCTAACACTGCACATTAATATATATATATATATATATATATATATATATATATATATATTAATGTGCAGTGTTATGCAAATCAATTAAAAAATGTAATTCTAATTTAAATTTAAATAAAATATATACTCCAATGTCATTTAATACTAAAGTTTAATTTTTACAAGATATTATTTACTTATATATATTTTTGTTACATTTTTTAATTAAATGAATACATATTGTATGCTATAAAAACAAACACAAATATATTAATTACATCTGATTACTGATTAGATGTGCAAATCTTAAATAATTGTAATAAAATTCATAAACAAACAAGCACTTAAATATTCCAAAACAAGCAAGCATTTAAATATTCATACATTCATCTATTACACATGCTCTTAAAGTTGCCAAACCCTTTGGTCTATATCAGAATATGATTTCCAAAGAAAGAAAGAAAGAAAGAAAGAAAGAAAGAAAGAAAGAAAGAAAGAAAGAAAGAAAGAAAGAAAGAAAGAAAGAAAGAAAGAAAGAAAGAAAGAAAGAAAGAAAGAAAGAAAGAAAGAAAGAAAGAAAGAAAGAAATGGCTCTCATGTCATGATGTGTACCTGTCCATATTTGGCAGCTAGATGTAATGGCGTCCAGTAGCTGCTGTCAGACACCAGTACATCTGCTCCATTCTCCAGCAGAACTGACACCACCTCCTTATAGCCGCTGGCACTAGCGATGTGTAGCTGCAAACACAACAAACACAGACAAACCTTACACGTGACGTTTCATGTAGTCAGATGTCTGATTCACTTCAGCCTACACACATTGAACAGATTTCATGTTTAGTGCTCAGCGAACCGTTACATATTAGGATATTCATATGTTTTCTCACCAGCGTGACCCCATCGTCATTTTGTTGATTGACGCTTCCCCCGCTGCTGACCAGCTGCTTCACGTCAGACATCATGGTGAAGCAGCGCTGGCTCTTCATCTGGTGGACAGAGCTCATGTCCACTCCTAACACACACAGACAGGTGTCGCAGTCAAGTCACAGTCAATTATAGAGCTTTTTCATTATATTAAAAAATAAAATCTTTTTTTTTATTATTATTATTAAGTACACCAGAAATAACAGCAAAATCCACTATCTAACTTGACAAATGCAATCATTGATGTAATGTTCATTTCATTTCATTTTATTTTCTTCAGCTTAGTCCCTTTATTAATCCGGGGTCACCATAGCGGAATCAACCACCAACTTATCTAGCAAGTGTTTACGCAGCGGATGCCCATCCAGCCGCAACCCAATTCTGGGAAACATCCACACACACATTCACACACGCACTCATACACTACGGACAATTTAGCTTACCCAATTCACCTGTACCACATGTCTTTGGACAGTGGGGGAAACCAGAGCACCGTGAGGAAAACCCACGCGAAGGCAGGGAGAACATGCAAACTCCACACAGAAACGCCAACTGAGCCGAGGTTCGAACCAGCGACGTTCTTGCTGTGAGGCGACAGCACTACCTACTGCACCACTGCCTTGCCTAATGTAATGCATTTGATTTTAATACTCACAACTGCAAATAATTCATTCATTCATTCATTTTCTTCTCGGCTCAGTCCTTTAATTAATCCGGGATCGCCACAGTGGAACGAAAAGCCAACTTTGTTTGCTTTTTATATATTTATTTATTTATTTATCTTTGTTTTTTATTTATTTTTTTTAAATGTGTATTTATATTTGAATTTATTAATGTATTTATTTAACTATTTAAAATGTTTGTTTATTTGACTAAAGTTTGTGTTTATTTGTTTATCGGTTAATTAAATTTGTGTTTATTCATTCTAATCAAGGAATGAATTAATGTTTTTATAATTAATAATTAAAGTATTGCAATAATTAAAACAAGCATACGCATTAATTACAATTATGCTCAGACCTTTATAGTTTAAAATAGGCTAACAGTGAGATAAACTATAGTATAACACACACATCTGTCTAAAAAATGCACAATTGATCACTTATTCCTTTTCAAAAATTATAAAAAAAAAAAAATAGTACTGAAAGAAGAAAATCACAAGAAAGAATGCTGCTTTGAAACAGAAACTTATTTCATCATGAGGCCTTATTTTAGTCAGTTATTTAAGATTTGTTTCTAAAAAAATATATATAGTTAGCCTAGAGAAATTTTATGTTGGCGTAGATCTGAGGTGTATTAGTTTACCGGCGAGCGTGAGTGGAATTTTACAAAGCACTTGCTTTGGGTGGTTCGCAAGACCATTGAGCAATGATTTTTCATTGAGCAATTCTCAGTAGCCATAACTGTAACTATTGAAATTTGTGTTTTATGTGTTTGTTTGTGATTTGTTTGTTTGTGTTTTACAAAATCCCAAACTACATAGCATTGTGTGGACAAAAGTGTTTGTCAAAAGTGTTCTGCAGCAGGACAATGACCCAAAGCACACCAGCAAGTCCACTTTTGAATGGTTGACGAAAAACAAAATAAAGACTTTGGAGTGGTCTAGTCAAAGTCCTGACCTGTGTCCAATTCAGATGCTGTGACATATTGCAAGTTATCGATTAAGCTTGACTACTGTTGTTTTTGCTTAAGGTGGCCAATCATTTTATTTATTTATTTTTTTTGTAGGTTTAGGGGGCAAACACTTTTTCACAAAGGGCTATGTAGTTTTGTATTTTGTTTTCATTAATAATACAAATTTTCATTTTTAAAACTGCATGATGTGTTTACTTGTGTTATCTTTGACTCATATTTAAATTTGTTTGATCATTTGAAATAGTTAAGTGTCACAAACATGCAAAAACACCAAGAACTCAGTAAGGAGCAAACCGTTTTTGGCTGTTAAGCAAAAAAAAAATAAATAAATAAATAAATAAAGTAATTTAACTAGGGGTCTGAGCAAAATTATTATGCAAAGAATCACACAAAAAGTCCTGTTAACAGGTGCAAACAGGGCTTCTGATGCAACAAACCATGTTCACTTGCTAATGTGTAATATTAGACAAAGCATAGGATGTGGAAGGTCATGGTTAGAGAGTGTGTGTGTGTGTTGACTGTAATGATGAATGAGCTCTCTGAAGTGTGTCTGTTCCTCTGGGTATCGCTGATTGATCAGCGGGCTGAAGTAACTCTTACTGCTGCCAGCATGAGAGATGACAGCATTCCAGAGTGTTAACATAGACATGGCAGAGCAAATGACGGTATATAGCGTCATAAACCTTTACAGATGGTTAATGTCACTAAAACTGTTTGTGCAGTGGGCAGGGCTGCTTTATGTCATTTACATATGAGACACAGAAAACATGCACACATAAAAATGAAATTTGCTCCATCATTTGCTCAAAACCTATATGAGTTTGTTTCTTCAGATAAACATCCAAAAGGAGATGTTTTCAAAGAATGCTGGAAGCATATTAAACTGTTAAACTGACACCCACTGATAACCAACATTTTTCTAAACATCTTATTTTCTCTAATGGGCCAAATTAAATTAAATTAAATTAAATTAAATTAAATTAAATTAAATTAAATTAAATTAAATTAAATTAAATTAAAAAATATAAATGTACTTTTACAAGTTAAGAATTTTCTTTTTGAAATTAATGTTTTTTTGCAAAAAAAAAAAAAAAGTGTTAATTTAATTGAACCTGTAACACAGTTCTTTAGAATGTGTAGTTGGAGTAATGACACTGAACGTTTTGCTTTTAATAATAAATTAAAAACACTTTAAAGGGCCACAAAACCCCCCCTGTCTCAGCAGAATGTTTTCACACCTCTGGTTTGAAAAATGTCAGCAAAGTGGGTGAGTCAAGCTTTGTTTAGTTGGGAGTGTCGGGGGAGGGAAAGAGGGAAGGTTTTGCATAGAAATGAGAGTTTCATTTTCGGCATGCACTGATTTTCACAGAGGCAAAAGAACACACAGACGCAGGAGAGAAAGACAGTGGCTGTGTCTACAAGGATATCAAATCATTTGCCAAATTAATAATTTGTCGACTTTAACTGCAGTTTGGAACTTTCACTTTCATTCAGGAACATTTCATGCGTGCCCACCATGATAAACGAGATATTGGATGCAAGGAACTGCTGGAAGAGTGTTGTTTTAATGGTATGTTTGATACCGCATGGCGAATGGGTGAAAAAACAACCCTACGCATTTCTCTGTAACTTGGAAGCACTCAATAGGTAGCATCAGAACTATTCAGTGACTATCCTGTCACAAACTGCTGTGAAAATTCTACACGACGGTAATAGTTTGATTAAGGTGTTTACATTCTGAGAGCAGCATTTACAGCGGATCTTTCAGCCCATAATATTGTAGTGACCAAGTCACTAAGGTGTCTCTTTAAAAACTGAAAAAATACTGCTGAATACTAACTAACTTTGGCTCTGAATAAACAAATGAAGAGCACTGATCCCACACTTAGAGACAGGGCAATCAACACAAACATGAACCGCAGGTTTCTTAAAAGAAATATGAGTGGCAAATCTGGATTTCATCATTTTCAGAGGCGAAAAGCTCTTGGGTAAAAAAATATTTCTTACAATTGTATTTCTGTCGCGTATCGTGAGCACATCCAGCTGTGCTCTCATAGCACGGAATTGAAAACACAACCTTCGTTGCAGCACATTTATAATTGTAACACTGACGACCAGTGTCTCCGGACAATTCTTCTTCTTCCATTTGTTTGAATTATGGATGGCAACACAACGTAGCGTCTCTCTGCCGTCTGAACACTGTTAACAGTCTTTGAAGCTATCATGCATATTAATGAAGTTGCACCTCATTCACAATAGAGCGCTCTGATTAGCGGTCTGGAAAGACTTGGAAGTCTTTCTTATAAATTAATGCTGAAAGCTCAAATACAGTTGAAGTCAGAATTATTAGCCCCCCTGAATTATTAGAGCGCTTATTTATTTTTTTCAGAAATTCTGTTTAATAGAGATAATTTTTTTTCAACACATTTCAAAACATAATAGTTTTAAGAACTCATTTCTAATAACAGATTTATCTTTACCATGATGACAGTAAATAATAATTTACTAGATATTTTTCAAGACACTTCTATACCGCTTAAAGTGACATTTAAAGGCTCAACTGGGTTAATTAGGGTTACTAGGCAGGTTAGGGTAATTAGGCAAGTTATTGTATAACTGGTTTGTTTTGTAGATTATCAAGAAAAAATATAGCTTAAAAGGGGCTAATAATTTTGTCCCTAAAATAGTGTTTAAAAAATTAATAACTACTTTTATTCTAGCCGAAATAAACAAATAAGACTTTTACCAGAAGAAAAAATATTATCAGACGTACTGTGAAAATTTTCTTGCTCTGTTAAACATCATTTGGAAAATATTTAAAAAGAAGAAAAAGACTTGAAGGGGGCTAATAATTCTGACTTTAACTGTACCTCACGTTGTACTCGCCGGAAGTCCATCCAGTCTACATGCTGGAACACACAAGGATCTAATCACAGTGACTTAGCTTCCAAATTTCCTTTCAAACCGGAAGAACGAATTTGCTGGAAATAACGCAAAAACAAAATTCTTCACTTTTTAGTAAAATATATGTGTCCTAACAGTGTTTTTAGCAGAGTGGCACATATATATGACTGTCAACATCTCAAAAAGTGTGTTTTGGTGTTTCTTGACCCTTTAAACATCTTAAAATGTAATGGCATTCCATAATTACAACTAATTTTATCTTAATTTTTGATTAATCATAAATATAGTTCAGTCAAAACCCCAATAAATAAATCTCACCAACCATATCATTTTGCATTCATACACCGCATATTCAGTAATTACCAAAACCTAGTGCGCAGTCATGCAAAAAGACAAAACAAGGCAGCAAATGCACAGCAGGGCTGTACCATTCTCCTCCAGGTGTCTGATGAGGATGTATCTGGTTTCCGTCCCCTCTGTGGTGTAGTCCAGTGGAATGTTCCCGTTCACATCCTGCAGGAGCACATTGACTCCGGCCTGCAAACAGACGAGATGGAGAGGAGATGACGGAGAGATAAAGACAAACAAGACATAAACAAATGGAGTCCCGCGTGCCTCATTCATCAGTCTGCAATCCGTGATAAACTACGGCCAATTATCAGACTTTCCCAGCATTCCCCAGGCACCGGGGCTCAGGGATGAGCTACAGGAACAGAAAAGAGTGCGTTAACTAACTCATTAAGATACGGGGCAGGTTAATAGGGTCTGCGGTACAGCGTTGAGTGTTTGGGTGGCGGAGGGTGAGGTGATTTATGAGTGTCTGCTTCACTTGAGACTCCAGACTGCGATAAGAGACCGAACCAACACAAAAAACAGACAGTACAGATAAACAAACATTAAATACTAGACATATGAAAATACTAGATTATGTAGTGGGAAAAACGGTCAGATGCTGAATAACTATATATTTACATATTATGTTATAAAGGATGGATGGAAGTAATGCTGAAGCTTACATTAAATTCAGAAATTGTACTACAGTTATCTTTTTTGTCTATTTCTACATACATGATTATTTATAGAAACATATAAATAGAAAATAATACTGTGTTCTTTTTATACTGTTAACTAGTTCACTTTATTTGTCCCAGTAGGGAAATTTTATTTGCAGCATACACTCACAGAGATATCTGACATTTCACATTTGGCATTTATGTACAGTAAATAAATCATTTAAAAACCTAAAGTACCATAGTACCCCTACTCTAAATAAATATCCAGTCTACCGGCCATCAACTGCTACTGAGAAAGAAGGAATTTAAAACCTTAATTGCTTGAAGTGTAAATTATAAGTTTGTCTTATTTCTAACACATTTGGAAACACAATATCGACAACTTGATGGTAACAATTTGTAGGTGTATGATAAAGGATGCCTTTCAACATTGACAATCATGATTGCATTATTTTAAAAAAAAAAGCTAGTCCATGCTTTTATGACTTCTAGGCTGAATTACTGTAATGCTCTGTTTGCTGGCTGCCCAGCATCCTCTATTAACAAACTTCAGCTAGTACAAGATGCAGCTGCCAGAGTTCTTACCAGGTCTAGAAAATATGATCATATCACCCCAATTTTATCCTCCCTACACTGGCTGCCTGTTAAGTTTCGTATTGATTTTAAAACATTGCTTCTTACCTATAAAGCTTTAAATAATCTAGCTCCTGTTTATCTAACCAACATTCTGTCTCGCTACAATCCAACCAGCTCTTTAAGATCTCAAAACTCAGGGCTTTTGCTAGTACCTAGAATAGCAAAGTCCATTAAAGGAGGTTGAGCCTTCTCATTTATGGCTCCTAAACTCTGGAATAGCCTTCCTGATAATGTCCGAGTCTCAGACACACTCTCTCAGATCAACACTAGATTAAAGACCTATCTTTTTAGCAAAGCATACACTCAGTGTATCACTTAGCGGTATTATACATGGATGTGCCCCAAGCAGGTTTTTGCATCTCGTTTATATACACTTTGAACAGCAGCTATGCTAATTATTCTCTTTATTCTCTATTTCCACCTGGGGATACTTATCCTGAGGCCCTCAGACTATGCAGCGCCACTAATTCGATCCAAGACCAGCGACGAAATGATCCCAAGGTTTCCATAATCCTGAACCAGGCCGTATCCTGAGCAGCTGCTGTGGTGGTCATAAAGGAATGGAGAGCATGAGACTGATTCCTGTGACGCTCCAGGAACAGATGAGTCTTCACTGAGGTCCAGCTTCTCCAGTGCCTAGAATGCAGCTCTGCACTAGACGTTTGGCCAGAGGAGAAATGGTCGTGCCCAACTGAGCCAGGTTTCTTTAGAGTTTTTTTTTTATTCTTAACTTTCTGTGACATTGCAACGTGTTTTCCCTTGCCGTGTTTATCGCGCTTGCTTTGTTTTATTGTTTATCCTGCCAGCCATGTGTACAGACTGCTCGCCTGTTTATTGAGAACAATTCTGAATTATCCAGATGTGTCTGTTTACCCAATTTGACCACTGCCTGCCTGACTAATCTTATAAATAAACTACACATGAATCCTCAACCAATTGTTAGTGTCCCTCATTTACAATATACATATATATACATATACATATATATATATATATATATATATATATATATATATATATATATATATATATATATATATATATATATATATACATACATATACATATACATATACATATATATATATATATATATATATATATATATATATATATATATATATATATATATATATATATAAACAGGCATTTATGAAAAAAAAAAGTTTATTTATATATAAAAATTTTGACAATATGCTTACTGGCACATTAAATTGAAATGCATTAAATTAACCATTGCATTTGGATAGATTTTCCCCCTTTACACTAAGCGAATCTAAACGCATCTTACTGGTCATTCGGCTAATAAACTCAACAGGAATGTGTTTGACTGGATATTATTCACTAAACTTACCATTAAAAACTATCCTGCTTAAGTTCAGGCTGTGGTTTTAACTACTTTTTTCCAGTGTTTTATCTTTAGACTTTAGACATAATTTATACAATACATTCCTCACCATCTTTACTGTCTTACAATGTTTACAACTGTAAGATTGTACAATTATAGAATTGAAGAAACCTCCAGATGTGAATTTATGGTATAATGGGAATAGCATAATCACAACAGACTGATAAATCTGCCCAATCAGAGCTGAGCAGACTCAAAAATGAGAGTTTTGAAAGTAACGAACTTTCAAATTATTTGTTTGAGAAATGATGTGAAGTGAACTGTACAAGGATCGTATGATAAATTATGTATGATATTTTAATTATTTATTACTATTGACCTTGGACGTATATACAGATACTATAGCAGACCTCTGAAACAAAATATGTATCCTTTAAAAAGCACTCAACTGAAGGACAATGAGGATGGTATGACATTTAAAAAGACAAAACCAAACATCAACAAATCACAGTGTCAGATTAATAACTTGTATCTTTTATAATAGTCTATGAGCAATTAAAGCTGCAAATGGCACGTCTCCATCTGACTGGCTGGAGCACAAAGGCATGGTGGCAAATCAGAAGCTTATTGTCTGTTATCCCAGCATGCTTGTCTAATCCAATGATCAGCACATTCAGACTGGCGAGGTTGTGTCAATCACACATTGACGTTAACAGCAGGTTAATGAATAGATTAATTAACATTATCAATTAGAAGCTCTTTTGTCTGCATTTAGGAGTGATGGCTTTTTGGGACTACACACAAAGATATGTCTCACATTTTGGTCAGTCTTAAATGAGCAACACAACATTATTGCATATGTTAAATAATTCACTACACTTTACTATGTGTGTGTGTATATATATATATATATATATATATATATATATATATATATATATATATATATATATATATATATATATATATATATATATATGTATGTATTAAAGTATTTTTGCACAGCATCAGAAATTAAGTTATTGCATCGTAACATACTTCTTGAAGTATGATCATGAGAAATCCTGCTTCAGAAATAACTCCTCTTCCTCAGTCATCTTTTCATCAAGCAAGTTTCTGTTGCCGACATCGCCAACCAGAGGTGGCAGCAACGCACCAAAAACTTTGTTATCGAACACCGTAAAACAGGAAGAAGTAGAATTCCTCATTCTCGCCATCATATGGATTTACTTTTATCGGCTAGACACCGGCCTCACAACTCCGTGAATGTCGGTGCCGTCACTTATTGATCCGGGATCAGTAAATGTAGCTAGCGTGGACGCTACTGCGCTACTTGACTAATAAAATAGCTTCGTTACTGAAAAACTATTTGATTTAGAAAGTAGTGACGCTACCACCACGCTACTGAAAAATGTAGTTAAGCTAGTGGCGTCACTACTTGTAGCGATTTTCAGCATTTGGTACATACTATGCTATTCTAACAACTCTCGGATGAGTTTTGAAGAACGAAGGGATCCTTTACTGCATCAAATTGTGAATAACCAAGCTAATCGAGTAATCCACATACAAATAACAAACCCCAGGTTTACAATATTGTTGTCCATGTATATTTTCTTAGTAACACAACTCAAGAAATGCCTCAATTATTGCATTATTTTTTTTAAAAAGCTACCGTAAAAAAATAAAAAATAAATAAATCTGTCATTTTAGCCTTTGAAAAATTCAGTAGGCACTGCTTTAGAGTGGTGTCAGAAAGTAAGAAATAGCCAAAATGTCCTCACTTTACTCTCTTAGTCAACATTCTGATGGTACAAAGCTTAAACCGGCTCTCACAAAAATAGATGTACAGGTACACACACACATTAGTGAGCACTGAGAGATCTGACAGTGAGCTGCAGGAGTGTGTAATGACCTCCTCCCCGAGATGTCAGACACATCGAGACACCGAGGACAAGTAGAGTGTGTGTGTGCATGTGTGTGTTTGTACTAGTGGCGATCCATCGATCCATTTGGAACTGTTGATGTGGGAGATGTGAATGGTAAAAGAAGGGGTGTGTGTGAACTAACGGGGTCAATGTGAAGGAGATGAAAGTAAGTGTATGTGTGTGTGTGTGTGTGTGTGTGTGTGTGTGTGTGTGTGTGTGTGTGTGTGTGTGTGTGTTCACCCTTACACACTGTGAGAAGAGCTGATGAAGCTGTCAGCATCACCTCCTCTGATCGACAAGCTGAACTTGTGTGCTCTGTTGGCTTTCGTGCTGAACCACCAGCCTCAATGTTACAGTTACAAACAAACTTTAGAAAATAAGTAGAAGTAATAATATAATGGCAATATAAAATTATAAAATTTAAAATTATGTTTAAATATATAATTATATAAAAATGTTATTATTAGTTTTTTGATGTTTTTGAAAAATATAATGTGTTACCTAAGGTAACATTTATTTAAATAAAATAAATAAATAAATAAATAAATAAATAAATAAATAAATAAAATATTTTTTCATAAGGTAATAGCTGATTAAGGTAAGGTAAAGTGAGGT